TCCGACAAGCACCTTTACGGGCTTGGCATCCCAGTCCTCAGGAACATCCTCAGATGAGAAGTGTGGCTGTACAAGAAAACGAAATGACAGACTATCAAGACTGGGAAAATGTAATGCCAGAAGCGGCCAACCAGTCAGAATGTTTGCGCCGTGATGCCCAACCAGCAGTACGGTAGAGTGCAACTACAGTCCTGCTCAATGAAATCCAGTCACGTCACACAAGTATGCACATTGCACCATTTCGTAAGCCCAGCATTCGCAGGTCTAGGGCTGCGCAACGCCCGGCATGGCGTACTTGAGTGACATGACTGGATTTCATTGAGCAGCATTGTATATTAAACTGGCAGCCAAACAATTTTCCACGGCCCGTGAGCAGACTGAATTGGCTGCATCAGTAAGAATGTCACCAGGATCAAGGCACAGAAGCAGCTCCTATAGTTAGCCAGTGCAGGCTAATTTGTATTTTTCAGGGAAACCCTTCGAAAATGGTACCAATCGATTCAGCATGGCATTTTCATTCCTCCTGCAAAGTTTCAGCTGATTTGGAGTCATGACAAGGACGCTATGGCGATTTGAAGATAGAAAAACTTCACTTTTGTTTGTCAAGAAGAAAGACCATGATCGCACACAAATCATACAACCCGTGTGGCACAATGATTTTTGAACGAAGTTGATCCGCGGACCCCGTGCTTCGCGCATGCACGCATGCATACTGCACAGTACAGAGGCTTTTTTGAACGCAGATATGTAGTTCTTCGTCTTCTTCGAAATGTCTTCCAAATGCGTGGTGCTGGTGTTGTTCTCAGCTTCGTCAAGGCAGAATGCAGCTGCATGTGATGCTCCTGTGTGTTCATGCATGTTCTCTGTTCGCGTCTCGACATTGTAGCGTCCAGACTCAGCTCGACTGGAGAAGATTGAGGAGACTATGCTTTGATCCACATGGAAAATCGATGAAATTTGGTAATTATCGTCGGGCGCTAAAAAGCGCTGGGGAGCATGGGGCTAAAACTTCGTAGCAGTCATCCCTACCATGACAGGCATCGACTGGTATATGTTCCATTCTGTTCCCAACCACTACGGGTCGTCTGCGAAGCTTTCTTCTTCGCCGATTCTCGGACAGATCGTACGTCTTCGCACTGTATCTCTCGTCTCCCTCAACGGATCAAAACACGGTTTTCGCCAGGACGAACACAAACCCCCAGATTTCGCGGCGGCAACATCTTCGAGTAGGGAAAAGCTAGCAGCTAACCAGGAATCACCAAAACCACGTGTAATACTCAGTGTGATTTGCGACAGCTGTCATTGTGCCGTCGCACCATGCATGTACCATGCACGGGAATGGAACACGGATGAGTCGTTTTATTACGACAGCCTGCACTGGCTACTATAGTAGTGGGTGATGAGCAGAACAAGCCAGCCACAAATGGTCAAAGACCGTAAGGCCCATTTACTGCACCCACGTCTCTCTGCATCGACTGGCATTCATAGCAAAAACCAAAAAAAATGTAGGTAGGAAAGAAGTGGACAACTGTCATCCGAGACCAAACAGAAACACGGACACTAGCAGTACCTGGAGGTCGCCGCTCTTGAAGTCAGCGAGGAACTTGCGGATGTTGGCATCGGTGATCTCGTTGCTCTGTGGGGCAAACTTTTTCATGTCCTCCTCGCTCAGCTTGACCAAGCGGAAAGCTGGTGTCTGTAGCATAATCAACAAAGACATGGCACACAAAAGTGTACTGTAACGGAAACATAAACACATCGTATGCAACAAGCTAGAATTCGGTCAGGCTGCTTGTGGGGCTAGCCACAATTTTCAATGTGCACACCAATGCACAGCAATGCACACATACACACACACACAGACAACAGAAAGCAAGCTGCTTCATACAATGCCTAGAAGCGATAATAAACTAACTGAGGACCTCAGCTGCGTTACAGAGACAGCTCTGATATTGGCATCTCGATAAAGAATTACAGTACATGTACTTTTGGTGCTAACGATTTTGCAGCAAAATTCATGATCACATGGCATCAATAGCTGATTGCAGGACACGGCGGCATGAGCAGGAACCAGACCCATCAATTTCAGCAACTGAAAGACCTCACCGCACAACACAGACAACTTACATTCTCCTTCTTGACAGCGAAGAACTCCATGATGCGCTCATTCTCGTCGACATCAGCATCAATAGTGACAAACAGAGTCTATGAATCCAGCCATAAGGCCAAACATACCCAACAAGACAGAAGAAAGAAGGACAAATACAGATAGAGAGAGAGGCACACAGGTTAGAACGGCAGTCAGTGACTGTGACACACAAGTTCACTACGATGCATGTCTGTACAGTCGGATGTCACTTATCCGAACCTTTTGGGAGAAAGGGCAAGATAAAAACGAACTAGCGTGTATCCCAACAGAATTTTCCCGGCTATGAAGCTTTTAGTCGGAGTGGTCGACCAAGAGAATAGTGTTGTGTGGCTGTAGATGCGTGAGGAAACATGAATACGACTGGAATGATGAACATAAACCTTCATATTTCGGGATAAACACCAACAGCCAAAAGCAGCAGCAAGGATCAAATACCCATCCCCACCACATGCACGCATTCGCACAGGTAGAACTAACCTCTCCCTTGTAGTCACGAGCAACACCACGCAGAACATCCAGCTGAGCCTCGTACTCATCTGAGGACTTGGTACCGAAAAAGAGAAGGTGAACCTTGACCTGACCACCGAAGATCTTGGGGGCAGTCTAGAGATGGGGCACACGGCAAAAAGACAAAACACCAACAAGTTTGATCAGACTTGCATTCTTCGTGCCCATAAGAAAATCTGCTGGCCCACCACCATTACATCATTTGCAAACCCTGTATAGAGAAATGCACGTGTGTGGGTGGATTCACCAAGGAATGCATGGACAATTTGAACTGGGAATTTCACATGGTGTAGCTGCAGACTTAACCATTGCAATCAGTTCTCGTGTAGCTTTGGCTGCAGAGCGTAGAGGTGGGCCAATGTGATAGTAGAAAAATAGGGCACCGGAGAGCAGCAAACACCAGCCGATAACATCACACGTCGCCTTGTTTTGAATGTTTGAAATGGCGTCCATAGCTGGCCACTGACACATGGTGAGCAACTATCAAAGGAATGTGGGCCGGCGAGCAGGATCGAAAACGGCCAGGCATACAGATTGATCAAACTCCAGAGAGTGTGAAAGCCGCTGGCACGTAAGTTGAAAAACAGAAAAGGCAACTTTAGGGCTCACGGATTGGCATACTAGCGTCGCCAGCTACATCATGCACGTGACAGGCGCGTGCATATACTGTACCACACAATCAGTCAGTGCTCAAATCGCATTTTCCCATCAATATCACTCACTTTCAACTCTACGCGATTCATTACGGTTGGCTCAAACTGCCTGAATTTTTGAATCCACACGCACGAAAGACGTCCCAAGACGTCATACAGATTGATCAAACTCCAGAGAGTGTGAAAGCCGCTGGCACGTAAGTTGAAAAACAGGAAAGGCAACTTTAGGGCTCACGGATTGGCATGCTAGCGTCGCCAGCTACATCATGCACGTGACAGGCGCGTGCATATACTGTACCACACAATCAGTCAGTGCTCAAATCGCATTTTCCCATCAATATCACTCACTTTCAACTCTACGCGATTCATTACGGTTGGCTTAAACTGCCTGAATTTTTGAATCCACACGCACGAAAGACGTCCCAAGACTTCCACCGTTCGTATTTTCAAACGAGTTCCGGGTTTTCCAGTAACTTTGGCCAAAGTTCGGCTAAAAAAATCAGGGGGAGCAGTTGCGTTTCCGTAAAATATTAAAGTAGAAGGATAGCCAAGGTCGAGAGCAAAACAACAAGCCATTATTTGTCAAAATCGAACAAGAAACGGCTCAGCGCATCTATTTTCCGTGCACGCGCGCGCGTACTTTGGGCGACAAAGTGTGCAGAATTTCTGAAGAAGAAGAATAACAAGAGCAGCAGCGCTCGGAACAGCCGTGCTGGATACTTCCAATTCCGACACGATGGAGTGTGTTGGCTGTCGTGAGCTGCTGAAACGACCATGACATTTCTTTTTCTTTGTATACCCTACACATCTTGACGTGCCCTTGCTCAGTTTCGGCCTCTTTACAGGAAGAATATTTTCTTCCTTGGCATCAGCCATTTCGGCCAAACAGCAAGAAGAGCAACAGATCAAGATTTGCAGGGCAAACAAAGGATGCATGCAGCTACATCTAGTCAGGTTCGATGCAGCTGCGCTTTGCCAAAACCTCAGCAGGATCTTTCGCCAAGACCATCACCGCCGCCATCATCAAGTCCAAGTCAGTCAGAAAAACCGAAGCAAAAATGCAAAGCCCGAGTGAAGTGAAGCCACTGAAGCCAAGGAAAAATTCAAAAATTACGCTCTCCGGCTAGACTTCGAGTCGATATTTTAGTTCGACAGGCGCTGTAGCGCGCGTCCATAATCCAGGGGCGCACGTGACGGGTGCTTTTAGTGGCAAGCCGTGAACCCTAAACTTGTCACAGGTACTCAACTACCGTAGAATTCATTCTCTAAGTCATAAGCGCCAAAAGGCATTTCAATGACTTCCTCGTTAAAGCAAGCTGAGGCAGAGGGTAGTAGCTTACCTCATCGGAGAACTCGGTCACAAGAGGCAGCTGGTTGGCCTTGACGAAGGCGCTGACGGCATCGGCGGTGAATTCACCGTCAAACACGTTGCGCTTCTCGTCAAAGTTCTTCAACAGGACGATGTTGTCAACCTTGGCCTCGTACTCCTCAATCAAGGACTGCTCAGTCACAATACCTGCCAAGAACAAGCAGCCAGAACAACACACCATGGGACAAGGAGTTATTTCAAGGATGCAGCGAGCACAGGCCATGTGGATTTATGTCCAGCACAACCCTGGTCTGCCAAGAGCATACCTGCCAAGCACAGACAGTACTTTTCCAGGATCGTCAATGCAAAATCACGGGATTTGCCTCATGTTTCCCATAATTCATTCATTTTGAACTTTTTTTATGGTGACGTCATTGATTAAATAATGATGCAAACATGTAGAATCTTATAATAGTAATAAAGAGAACAAATTCTGCAGTCATCGCCACACTACAACGAAGTCGTGAAAGTCTCCACGTCGATTATTTGCACATGTACAATCATGTACCATTACCCTTTCAGAGACAAGAACTTCCATATCGCCACCACTGCACCAGGACAAACTGTGCATAACCATTTGAGAAGAATTTCGGGATCTCGGGAGGTCATCCAAAATGCGGGATACGTGGCAGGTATGCAAGAGAAACTTCACTATGCCTTGCACAAACTGTCAACCAGCCGAAAAGGAAAGAGAACAAGATACACTTTGGCTGCGGCACAAACTCAACAATGCACAATCCGTATCACCGGCATCCAATTAGTTGCTCCGGGGAGGGGGGAAAGAAGAGTTAGCAAACTTATCTCGGGGAAAAGTTGGAGTTGTGCCAACTCAGCCTCCATAGACCCGAGAACGGATTCAGTATCAATCAACCTAGACTTCAATTTCAAACTTCAATGGCAATAGTATCAAGGTGGAAGAGAGAGCCGCCACCGGTAGATCACACAATCTGTAGCATATCCTGACAGCTCAAAAATAACTAGTTACAGCTTACCGAACTGAACATCATCAATGCCACCGGCAGCCTCCAGGAAGACCTTGGCGTTATCAGATGCCTTGTCGGCAAAGAAACCGACAACGACTACATCCTGTCCTTCAACAAACTCCTTGGCCTGATCGGAAGAGGTGAGCTCCTTGGCTGGTGGTCCAGTCTTCTTTGACAGCCAGCTGACGATCTCGGGAGCAGTACGGCCACCTACACATGCACGCCAAACACATCGCACATGAAAATTAATATCAAAGTAAGAAATGTGCAATGTCCACATACTATTGTATGTGGACATTGCACATCAACACTTTCTTCCTGAGGTGCTGAGTAAGGTACAAGTAGCAGCGATAATAATGAAAGCAATTTGGGATACTTCTTTCGGACAAATTTCATCTGAGAGCTAATCAGCGCTGGTTCTTGCCAACTACAGTGCAGCCTGCGAATGAAACTTTTACATAGGAATTGAATTGGGACAGGAATTGAAGTTCGTTAGCTTAGGGTAGCGATGTCAGGGTAAATTTCTGTTTTGAGAATCGGGCAAATATTGTAATACCATCCGATTCCTGAAGACAAGTAGAGTATACTGGCAAAGTTTGAAGCAAATCGGAGCAAATATAGTGGACTTATTCCAGTTTAGAGTGCGCGGGGTAAGCGCCGCCATTGTCGAAAAGCACCATGCCTCACTGTACACAAGCCAGATCTCACGACGGCACAAAATCGGTCTTGACAACAGGGATCGCGGCTCATGAATAATCTTGCGCACTGTACAAAATGTACATACCGTAGCTGTCTGTTTTTTTTGTTGTTGCTGCAAACTGTTGGAGAAATTCAAGAAGACTGTTGAAGCGTAGCCGAAGTATGAGTTGTGATTTGGCCATTCTCCAAGACAAGAAGAGTTCGACAAGTAGATTATGATCCTGGTGGTGGTCCGCTTTGAACTTCATCAGTTCTAACACCAATGCATTTGAAACGTTTCCGATCATGCTAGGCAGGGGCTTATCCTGCAATAGCTGCTCCTCCTTGAGTCCAAGACTCGACAAAACATCTTCACCGCCGGTACCTTTGCTGGACGAACACTCATGATGGCGTTGTATCCAGCAATGGAGTACCTGTCGCGAAAAATACTACAAGTCTGGTGCGCGGCGTGATACGCCGGTGAAACTCGGCAGCAAACTAAATTGGACGACGGGGAACACGATGGAACTAAAATCAAACCTGTATCAGGCAGCGCAAGAGATGAAAAAGGCGACTGAACATATGCTAACTTGTCGGCGGCCATACTCCCAGCTCCGTAGGCGCAGCGCGCCCGCACAAACGCGGATTCGAAAGGTTATCTTCTATTTTCGTGGCAATAGTCACGACCAAGCTTGTCACTGACGTCTTCAGGTCACATTTGAATATCCCGCGTGCCAAGTACTGCACGCACTAGCCGCGACTGGCATTCTGCCGTACTGGCCTTTTGTGCCATCATTTCAGCTGGTTGCTAGGGAATCCAGCGACAAGCGTGGAGGTCACGTGGCACGGCACTCTGACATCGCTACTTAGGGTAGCTAACGGAAATAGCAAAAGTAAAATCCTAAGAGATGTGTGTACAGCAAAACTCCGCCTAATCCAGGCAGGTTGGGACCGAGTACCGAGCAATGCCTGCAACTAGGAAGTGCCCGGAACTGAGAGCATACATATTTACTGCATGCAAGTAAACATTTTCATGCCAATCAATTGTTTTTGGGGGCGTTTTCCTTCGAAAAGCCAATCCTTGTGACACTAGATGGGTCAGATGGGTCAGAAAGTTGCCCGGATCAGCGGGTCCGGATTAGGGGAGTTTTACTGCACTACACAGACGGTACGAAGGTTTACATTGCACTGATTAGAGCAGAGCAGATTAGAGCAGACAAAGCTAACTTTCGCAGTTTGAACACATTTTGCAAAGCTAGAAATTCCATTATGTACTGTCGTGGACATGGAAATCCGGTCGGAGGTCAAGCACCCCCAGGGCGCTGGCCACGCAGCCGTGAGTACGCATATGATCAACACGTGCACTGCATGCAACGTTCTGCACACACTGAGGGTGCCGGCCCGGGTCATTCGACCGGATTTCCATGTCCACGACAGCACATGAGCAGTACACGCTGGGGCAAGAACTTCCCAGGAGAAAACTTGTTAGTCCATTACCTACAATGCTGCTGGCATGCCTTTTCTGGGCCTTATTTTAAATTGTGCCATTACAGGAATATGTCATACCTGTAGCTCGATTGACTGAACACACTTCCTAAGCCAACTAAGAGTGATTCCTCATGGGTGCTTAGAAAATTAATGCAGGGCAGCGTTATTTACGACAACGGAAACATTTCGCAGAGAAATTCAAACAAAGGGAACCCAGCGTTCCGAGGAGCAGCTTAATATTTTTCTGACAATAACTTACCACCGTACTCGCCGGGCTTTCCACCACGGAAAAACTTCAGCGTGGGGTATCCCTGCACTTGGAATTTCTCGCCCAACTTCTGCTGCTGTGTGGCATCGACTTTGCCCAGCACAACCTCTGAGCCATCGGCCTCAAGCTGCTTGGCTGCCTTGGCGTATTCTGGAGCCAGGGCCTTGCAGTGTCCACACCATGGGGCATCTAATAATTGATATGGAAAGCAGTCAGTCCAACAAAAGAAACGTTTCGTTCCAACTTCCTGTTCAAAAATAAATTTTCTCCTCCACAATCAGTAGCAGCAGATTATAGACTGCAGCATTGCAGAAATTAGGATTCCTCGACCACAATGAGGGCTGGGTTTCACAACAGAGCAACACAGATATACCGTACTTGAAAGGCATTGGCACTTACAAAATTCAACCAAAATAAACTTGTGCTGCTCGAGAGCTTCGTCGAAGTTTGACTCGGTCAACACCAAGACACCCTCCTCACGGGTGATCTCACTATCTGCCAAGGCCAAGGCGGCCAGAAAAAGCGCAGCTACTGCGAGATGACCAGACATGATGAACGGACAAGAAAAACAAACTGATGGAGAGCTGATCAACGAAGGAAAGAAAGAAGGAGAGAAAGCCTACGTGTCATGGAAGAAAGAAACACAAGTAAGAAGGTGCACTGTCGGGTTTCACTGTGATATTCACGAGATAAGCAGGTTTATGCTCATAGAAAGTGGGTTTCGAGAGGTTTTAGGTCATGATTCATGGCCTGCACTGTAGATTTTCCCTGCTTTGAACATGAAACCCTTGTCTTTCGACCGATATTTGGGTCTGTTGTGACGTCGTTGTTAGTCCACGTGGCAAAGTCAAAATGCCGCTTTGGCTTTGCTGGTGCACTCGATGACTGTACAGTGTGCACATGTGTAGTACCATGACATGGTCCATGTACCACCGGGCCGTACATCCCGTAGGTCTACGTCATAAATTTTTTACACTTTGGAGATCTCATCCGACAAGGGAGTCGTAAAATACAGAAGTGAGAAACAGCCTCTTTTACGGGCAAAAGCAACACAATGATGAGAAACCAGGGTATGATAGGAAGATAATATTAATAATAGTACACAGGTGTGGAAAATATGTCTCCGGAATGGCGAGAGTCACACTAAAACACAAATGGTTTTAGATCCGGCTTTCAACCACCGCCAGCTCCCTGAGCTCGTTAGCTGGACGATGGTATGCCGACCGAGACCCACGGACACACATGACAGCGGACCGGAGCAACGCGAAAGACAGCCTGCAGCGCACATATGCAACATGGTGTGCATAGGGCATGCTGGAATCAGCCCTGGCAAGCAAGCTACAGAGGCACTTAAGGAACCTTTCACATTCAGGGGAGGCAACACCAGAAGTTGACAACACCAGCGGGCTGAATGTGCCACGATCCACATTGAGGATTCGCTCTCCGTACTGCAGCTTCTTCTGGCGCTCGTGTTGAAGGAGTAGGGCATCCAGTGGTTGGGCCGAGTAGGACGCCGCATCAGGATGGAAGACGCGTACGTCAAAGAAAGCATCCTGTGCTCGGGTCCAGAAGCCACGGGCACGGACATCAGCGCGGGCATCCTCGGCGGTGTTTGCCGATGCAGCCGTAAACACCTCTCCAGAGAGCGGGGCTAGCTGAGGCTCGATTGCCACTGCGTGGCAGACCTCCGTGAGTAGCTCCCCTACCATGTCACGGACTTCGTTATGGCGGATTGTAGGGAAGCCACCCCGGGGGCAACACATGGCATGAGCAGTGGAGAACAGAACTCCGCAGGCACACTTCGTGGGGACATCGAGGAGAGGCCAGTCACACCGCAATGCAAGGCCGTCCCTGAACTCCTGCTTCGAGAGGTGGAACCCATGTTCCTTGAGAGGAAGAGCAGTGAGCCAGGAAGAGGGGCCTTTGCGGGACAGCTCATCCATACGACGGGCCAAGGGGCGGTCCGCAGCTTCTCGGAGAGCAGCGAAAGAGGCAGCACTAGCTTTCTCCCCCCGATATTTTACGACTCCCTAGCTACGACTACATACCGGCGCGGTAGATCTACGTAACGGCCGACGCGTATGGCCGGGTCATCGTGTGTGCTGAGTCCGGACTCCGGACGGCAGTGAGGTGTCGGAGGTACTATGAGTACACTGACAGTCTCTACCTGCAGGCTACACCAAGACTGGCAAGAGTACATAACCCCCCGGGGGTTATGACTGAGTGTAGGTGTGTAGCATGCAGGGAGTCGTATAGATACGACTCCCTGGTGTGTAGCTTCTGTGTACGAGTCTACTCCTGACTGACGTCGTCACGTCGACTTCTCTGTACGTATGCCATACGACGGGATCCGGAGCCTCTGGCCTAGGGGTTTCCACAAAAATTTCTGAATATTTTCTGAATTTTGGCGATTTTTTGATTTTTTGATTTTTTTATGAATTTTGAGTCCCTTTTGTTGAATTTTGCCATACATTACCCACTTGCATGGTTGGTTTTGGGTTTTCAGTAAGCTGTTGGATGCCATCGTCCCATCGACCTGTGTGGAGAAACCTTGGATCAAAAAATAAAATAATAATAATCACCGGAACTGGAAAGCAGATTGACAGAAGATGGACCACAACCATTTTTCTTCGGCCACCATTTTGCGTTACCATGGTGTTGCCATGGTGATATCCAGAAGTTTCGGCGCAACCAGAGTGATTGGCTGAATTTTTTTTAAATTTTGCGATTTTTTTGAATTCTATCATTGAAATTTGCCTAATTTTTTTGAATTTTGAATTTGAATTTTGAGATTTTTTTCTTGAATTTTGTGGAAACCCTTACTCTGGACTAGTCTAGCGCTCGAGCAGAGCGCTGCAGCAGCTCGTGTGACTTATGTCATGCGTAGGTCTACATGTACATATGACATCAACCGGTAGCTTGCCAGCGGAGCGGACGCGCAAAACAGACTGGATGCACTCGACGACGTCAAGTGGCTTCACTTGAATTTCTCACATTCCAACCATTGCCATAGTAAAAATGGTGCACAACCATAGCTCAAAACAACCGCGCGCTGCAGCGCTGGCCAGTCAAGTGGAAGCTCGCCTAAGTAAGTGCACAGCATGACAGCGCTAACCTAACGTGCAGCAGTCTGTAGCAGTTCGGAGCACTGATCGTGTGAGTTTGTCAGGTGCAAGAATGAGAGAGAGACAACCTTGTGCATTTTGTGGATCTTTCATACTTTAGTGCTCTGGCTTGATCGAGATTGCATTGTAGCCGTTTTGGATTATGATCCAGTTTGCTGTTGGAAAATCAGGGATCTGCTGCCTCATCTCGTCTCTGTAGCAGCTCTCGATCTGAAGCAGTGCCGAGATGCTGGCGTCGTGTGGGCCGAACAGACTTGTGATCCGAAAATACTCATTTTGACAATGAATAAATAATGCTCAGCAGAGGGACGGGGTGTTGATCGGCAGCACAGTTGGAGTGTCTGGGCACACTGGACACAATAGGCCGTTTTGTTCCTGTGGATTTGCTACGTCTTCAGGCAGCCAGCAGCAGCAACGTGCCATGGCGACGGCAGGACGCACGTCGAGCTCTGCTACTGTTATCAGCAGTGTGAGTGAGAGCACAGGACTAAATGTGGGTGGTCGTGCAGCAGCCGCCCTGGCGTCCGGATCCTCCATCAATTTAAATGAGTTCGAAATGGACTGGTCGTCGCAGGCCAGAGATAGGAGCCACATCTGGATCGATGCTGAGGGAAAAGATCACTTGTGCTATTCGTGCGGAGAGGGCCGCTCGTCGACGCGAGGCGCCCGCCAGAAATGCATGGTGTGCAAGGTAGTGGTGCACAATGCCTGTACGCCCGATCTCCTCCTGAACGGCGTGCTGTGCCGACGTACGTTCACGGAGTGCCAACAGGAGACGGAGGACCTTATCAACGATCACCACTGGGTGCGGCAGCGCAAAGCCATGGGCAGATGCTTCCTGTGCAGCAAGCACATCATAACCAAGCTGCTAAAGTCGTCGCGTGACTTCCACGCCATCGGCTGCTCATGGTGCAAACAGCAGTTCCACCTGAGCTGTTACATGTCGGACCCGGGCATTGCCCGCAGCCCGTGTCACATGGGAGAGTTCCGTTCGTTCATCGTACCGCCACAGTGGATCATTCGCCTGCTGAGAGCCAGACACTCGGCGAGGCGAGGTGCACGACCGTCCAAGCAGCGCAAGTCCCCGTTCATTATACGCCGCTTTGGCAGCGACATGATCAAGCCGCTCCTGTGCTTCGTCAATCCAAAATCAGGTGGTAACCAGGGAGCCAAGGTCTTGGCAAGGTTGCTATGGCTACTGAATCCTCGGCAGGTGTTTAACTTGCTGCAGGGCGGACCGGAGTTTGGATTACAGCTTTACGGCAAGCTGCCGCGACTGAGAATCCTGGTGTGTGGTGGAGATGGCACGGTCGGATGGGTGGTGTCGGTGATCGACCAGCTTGGTGGGTACTGTTGCAACTCTGTGTGTGTGTGTGTGTGTGTGTGTGTGCGCGCGTGTGTGTGTGTGCGCGCGTGTGTGTGTGCGCGCGTGTGTGTGTGCGCGCGTGTGTGTGTGTGTTTGCATTTGTGTGTGTGTGTGTGTGTGTGTGTGTGAGTGCGCACGTGTGTGTGTGTGTGTGTGTGCGCGCGCGCGCGTGTGTGTGTGTGTGCGCGCATGTGTGCGCGTGTGTGTGTGTGTGTGTGTGTGGGCGTGTGTACGTGTGTGCGTAGGCGTGTGCACGCGCGCGTGTGTGTGTGTGTGATTACACAAGAGTTAATCTAGCCAGAAGCAGTCCATGGTTAACAGGTATGTATACTTCAAAAAGAAAGTACAGTCAACTTGGCTAATAACGACTGCGGATGTAACGACAATTCGCGAATAACGACAGAATTTCCATGCCCAGAGCAAAGTCCCATCTAACTGTAATACATACAATGAGACTTCGGGTATAAGGACACTTCGCGAATAACGACACCTTTCTGATGCCCCGCCGAGTGTCGTTATACGCAAAGTAGACTGTATATGAACCCTGAAACCAACAAAGGTGGCAAGTACAACAATACTCCGTCAAGCAGCCGAGCCTGTTGGCTACAGACCCTTCACAATCAGGCATAAGTGTACTTATCAACCGAACTAGCTGACACTTTTTGAAGCATACATACCTGTTAACCATGGACTGCTTCTGGCTAGATTGATTCTTGTGTAATCAATGGTGCTAGTTAAGCTTTTATCAGATCCACTCTGATTTAGCCACCCACACTAGTAGCAAGTATTACCTTCACTGGGGGCAGGGGTAACTGCAGTTGGATACCGGGACGGATACCCTGATGCCGTCCATCCTTTCTCTGCACCTTGTCCTCACCCACTTACTGAGGTGTGGTGAGCCCGTAAGTGGATTCATTTTCAAGTCCACCCAGAGTTTTGGGGATTTCAGGGGGTGTCGGCCGTTGAGCGGTTCAATAGCCAATTGAGTCATCTTTCCAAGATTCCTTTTGAGTCTCTCTCCCCTCTCCTGGGGAGACCCACGCGACCAGTTTTGGCAGTGAGCAACAAGTACAAGTGTGTGTGTGCGCGTGCGCGCGCGCGCGTGGGTGTGCGCATAACCTGCCACAGCGAAGTTGGACTAGTCCCCCCCCCCCTCCATGGAGACCCTACGTGATCCGCTTCTGGCAGGGAGGAAGTACAAGTGTGTGTGGGTGTGTGCACTACGCGAGCGACTGCATTTGCAGGGTTGTAGCCGTAGCGCCATGGTCTGGCATCAGTGTAGTGGTACATGAGGGCAGCAGATCCACACCATCATCATCATGCACTCTCCATGACGTGTATAGCATGTGTATAGTTCTGTGCACTCTCCATGAGCAGTATAGCATGTGTATCAGGGGCGTCGGAAGGTATTTTAGTGCGGTACGGTCAGCCATCTGAAGTACACTTGACTCGGGGGGGGGGGGGGGGGGGGAGTAGCGGCTGAGCCGAAAATTTTGGAATTTTAGATCCCAGATCAGTGTATTTTGTTGACTCACGGGTATCTGGGGAAAAAAGTGGTACGGTCAATACCGTAGTGACCGTACCGTGTGCGACGCCCCTGTGTATAGTTCTATGCACTCTCCATGACGTGTATAGCATGTGTATTGTTCTATGCACTCTCCATGAGCAGTATAGCAATGAACATGATCTATGACCTGCGTTGCCGGCTGCAATCTAACACGACTACTGTCCACAGCACTGTCGGGTGTTGAAGAACTGGGGGTCGGCCTCCTAGCTTGGGCCATTCTTATGTTCATGTATTACAGTCTTTGCGCAGTCGAGTCACCATGTATACATTGGTATCCTGTGCTTGGTGAAGTCCTAGCCTGGTCGTTCTTCGGCACTCCGTTTTTTCGGCACTCCAGACAGTACTGCCCCCCCCCCCCCCGTCTTTTCTATAAAACTTTGCTGTAGGATATACCATATAGAGGGTTCTAGCCAGGTCAGAATAGTAGGGGGAGGGGTGGGGGCATAGGAAACCGTTACTTAGTACCCCGTATCCATTTTTCCACTTTCCGATAGTGTCTTGCCACCTTAAATGCAACATATGGGGCGAATCCCCGACTTCGCCCCAGACAAATGTGCCTTTATGAAGCAACTAATAGTGACGTTCGACTACATTTCCGTTGAATTTTGTGATAAACACGAAAATCGAAAAGTGAGTAGGGGCACTTTTTCACAGGGAGGGGGGGGGGGGCGCAAACCGAGTAGGAAGGCGCTGTGGTCCCCCCCCCCCCCCCCCCCTACTCTGTTTGGCTAACGCCCTGCATGTACATAGTGGGTAACAGTGACAGGGCTGTGTGAACAATGTGCAGTTAGATAAAGACAACGAGTGTGGCCGTTTTTGTGACCTGTTGTCCGATGCAGGGATCAAGCCGTGTCCACCGATTGCCGTGCTGCCGATCGGCACCGGCAACGATTTGTCTCGCACGCTCGGCTGGGGCGGGAAGTACTCCGATGAGTCGCTGATCCGTATCCTGCATCGCATCTCCACTGCTGCCGTGGTGCGGCTCGATCGCTGGAACCTGTTATGTCAGCCGGGAGCACCAGCGCCGGAGGTCTTGAATGATCATGGCGAGGAGAGTGTCCAAGGTGCCGAGAAACCACCTCTCGCCGTCTTCAACAACTATTTCTCGATTGGTGCGGATGCCCTGGTGGCGTTGGAGTTTCACGAGTCGCGCGAGGCCAATCCGGAGCGTTTTAACTCTCGCTGGTTCAACAAGATGTTCTACGCCGGTTAGTTGTGCGTGTGTGTGTGTGTGTTTGGGGTGGGGTGGGTGTGGGGTGTGGTGCATGTGTCTGCATGTATATGTGTGTGTGCGTGCGTGTGTGTGTGTGTGTGTGTTTGGGGTGGGGTAGGGTGCATGTGTCTGTATGAATTTGTGTGTGTGCGTGCGCGCGCGCGCGTGTGTGTGTGCGTGCGCGCGTGTGTGTGCCTGTATGTACTGTGTGTGTAAGTGGATCTGGCTTGTGAACCATAGTAATCTTATGATGGTCTGCTGTGTGTGTGTGTGTGTGTGTGTGTGTGTGTGTTTGGGTGCATGCACTTGTCTCTGATTTCTGATTTGTATCCAATCCAGGTGCTGGCGGGAAAGAGATTCTGGAACGAAAGTCACGTGACTTCAGCAAGTATGTCGGGGTTCTTGCTGATGGTGTGGATCTAACTCCGCTTATCAGACAAGAGCGGCTTGCGGCTGTTGTCTTTCTCAACATCACGCACTATTCAGCCGGTACAAAGCCATGGGGTACGGGAGACACGGAATATGGTGAAGCACGGTTAGACGATGGCCTGATCGAGGTAAGTACACATGCCAGTACTGTGTGTGTGTGTGGGGGGGGGGGGGGGCATTGTGTATGCATACATACATGTGTGTATGGTGATCACTGCTGGATTTAGCCTGGCTGCGTGTTACAGCTATCAATCTATCCACCCATCCACCCTTCTATCTATCCATCCACCTATCAATCTGTTCGCCCTTCCACCCTTCTGTCTATCTATCCATCCACCCTTCTATCTATCCATCCGCCTATCAATCTATCCATCCATTCACCCTTCTATCTATCCATCCACCCTTCTATCTATACATCCTTCCACCCTTCTATCTATCCATCCACCTATCAATCTATCTACTTGAAGTATCTCTCCGTCCACCCTTCCACCCATCTATCTATAGTATCAAGAGTACATAACCCCCAAGAGTGTCCAACTCCAGCTATGGGGTCTGCAGCGGCAGAATTTCTCATCACGGGATGAACCCGTACACATTATTTGCACTCTGTGCATGATAGATACAGGGCTGTACGCAACCCAGCTTTGGGTACAACTCTCTTGTGGTCACTTTGCACTGTTTGCAAGTGTGACCTTTTGAACCATGTCACGTGATGTGAAGTTCTGCCGCCGTCGCAGCACCGCATAGAGGTTGTGCAGGCAGTTGCACGCTGTTGGGGGTTATGAACTCTTGATACTTTGATATGGGTAGCACTAAACCGGGCTAAATCCAGCAATGATTATCATACACACATGTACGTATGCATACACTACACAATGCCCCCCCCCCCGCCATGATTTCCCCCCCCCCCCATGATTTTCAAAAAAGATGACGTGAACAAAAAAATTCCGCTGTGGGCCAACCCATCCCGCAGTTGCACACTCTTGTTTATCTGCTCTTGATAGTTTCTATCTATCCATTCATCTATCCATCTATCAGCATGCATCTGCTCACTGCCTATCCCTGTTCACTCTGCCTAGGTGATTGGTCTCAACTCGATGACAATGGCTGCGCTACACCTGGGCAGACCAGGTGTGCGTATTGCGCAGGCCAGGGAGGTCACCATCATCACATCACGTGCACTACCAGTGCAGGTAGGTGCAGAGAGTGTGGTATTGCAACAGATACTGCGTTGCAGGGCATTCGTGCACGGAGTTAAGCTTTAGCGCATGAGCCGACGAAGCCTGTCGTAAATCCGACGAGGCGTTGCATGCAATTACAACTGAGCCAGTCAGTTCTTATTAACTATTACTGACTGGCATGCAACATGTTTACCGGTACTTGCATTTAGTAAGTCGGTATGCTCTGAGTTACAGGCAGTGCCTGGTCCCAGCCTGCCTGGACAAGGAGAGTTCTATTGTAATTGCAGCCGTAGCTGGTGGCTTGAACGTGCATAGTTTAGAAGGAGAAGAGCAACTTAAAAAAAAGTTAATTATCGTGTCCGTTCCCGAAGGTAACTCACGACGGCCGCTAACACCCGGTAAACCCTATAAACCCTAGCGGCAGGTGCGGCGCCTAGTAACGGTAGGGGTGAGTGGATAACTCTCACAACCCCAGCAACTTTGGCCATCTGCAAAGGCCTGGACGTCTGAGTCTTGGTGGTATTGGCAGTGATGTATGTCGTTGACAACTATCTGAAATACCGGAGTGTCGCGTATTAAAGCCGGGCTTATTCCTGTAGAAGCCGATGTCAGGGCTAGGCTTCTATTCACGTCAGGCTTCCATTCAAATTCAAAATTTCTATGTGTGTCAACACAAATAAGGGCTTCACACTCGCGGGAAAATCCTCGGTCAAAAATCGAGTGCATGCGTCAATGGTATGTGGACCATTCACAGTACGAGGTCATCTGCAATTATGTAACGTGATTGTAAATTTTCTATTTTTCTCCACTTTCCGGGACCGTAATGTGTCAACTGTTGCTATGAAGTTGAAGTTCGGTCTTCTGTGGTACCCTCACCAAAAATCTGGCCTGGTCGGCCGTCTCTAAAGGTACAAAATGTCATCCTGCAGCAAGGGTGTTTTTGAGGCCATGAAAGTAGGTGTACTATTATGTAACATTGAGTAAACTAACTGTCTACACACGGGAATGTCACTCACAGACCTGTAAAATCAAATTGGCAAGGTACAGGCACCAGTTCACCGAGTGTTGCAATGGCAAACGGCTTTTGAATCGACCACATCTCGGCTACATAGGTACTACGGATATTCAGAAATTGTGCTAATCTATTCAAAATTTGTCGCACTGCAATCGCCCTCCTAGGAAGCTCATCAGTATAATAATTATCGTCGTAAGACGTTCTATCGAAACAGAAGTGGCCGGGACGGATGCCAAGGTGACCAACAGCAACGAAAATTGAGAACAATGGGAGTTATTGGCCATCCTTGCCCCTCGACTATAGTCGCTGTCGAATACTGCTGATAAACGAATGGATATATCGAATACAAAAGACATTTCTCAACCACATATCACCACCATGAGTTTGGAACTTCGAGGCTTACCACTTTGTAACACTGCTCTATTGATTTTAGGGGCATACACATGATGACTGACCTGGGGGACATCAATATTCACATAATTTACTAATTTCATTCAATTCCTACCGATTGAGTATGCTTCAATAGGCCTTGCCGACCTTCCATGACGCCAATTTTTTTGTCAGCTGAAGCCTCAGTGGGATAGCTCCGGACGGCCAAAAAAGAAATTTCAGGTTGGCCTCGACCGACCCCAGGGATGCGTAATTTACTCAATTTGTTACATACTGAAAAATGTTACATAATAGCAGATCACCTCGTACGCTGCACGACGATGGTTTTTCTCAACGTTTCTGGCACATTACTATGGCAATCGAAATGGAGTTGTGTTGTTTGAGGATTTTGAAATCTTGTAGCATTCTGCTTGTATTGGAAAATGACACGAAAGTCAGAGTGAAAATAATTCAATTGTAGAATGAAGCAATGCCTTTCAGTCGCCTTCCTACTAGTTTGATTTTATTGCTGATATGGCGTGGTCAGAATCAGCTTCATCCTGATATGGCGTGGTCAGAATCAGCTTCATCCTGATATGGCGTGGTCAGAATCAGCTTCATCCTGAGTTGGCGTGGTCAGAATCAGCTTCATCCTGAAATGGCGTGGTCAGAATCAGCTTCATCCTGATATGGTGTGGTCAGAATCAGCTTCATCCTGATATGGCGTGGTCAGAATCAGCTTCATCCTGATCGTGGAATCAAATTTGAAGCCGAGTTCCCCTTTGAACCTTCTCGTCGCCAGTTCCGGCGTCATCGGTGAATTGCGAGCCAGGACCACTGGTCCATGGAGTTTCTCAGCGCATATCTCGTTCCAGACTGCTCCAAAATTCATTTGTATTCGATGCAAGTTTTCACCTCTCTATTCTGGATAGTCTTCCCAGAAAGACAACTACAAAAACACCCTGGTATTTGTGTATTTGTATTTATGGATTCTCCACAGGCCTTCGCCTAAATCGAGGGAGTCTCCGTCTGGTAACTATGCCGAAATCGTAACTTTTTCCCCGCGAGTGTGAAACCGCTGTAAAACCAGGCTTAGGTGCTGATAGTTCATTTCTTGAAATCAGGCCTGTAGTCAAAACAGGCTTCTACATGGCACAGGCTTTAGTCCAAGATAATACGGTAATGATTGTTTTGTTTGACCTGGCCTTTGCTCGCGCTGTGTTCCTGTTTGCTAGGTGGATGGAGAACCGTGCCGCCTTGCGCCGTCCACGCTGCAGATAAAGTTTCACAACCAGGCCAACATGCTGGCGAGGGTGAAGGCGTCCGGCAACGACCCAGCGGCGCTGGCTGCCGGCTCCGCTATCGCCAACCTCGGCGAGCTGGTGCAGTCCATGCCCTCGTCTCTTGCGCACTCGCACTCCACGCATTTCCTGCCCGGCGACATGGCCAGTGGGACGGCGGCCGCGGTGGACGACGACGAGGTAGCACCCGTACCGGCAACGCTCCTCAAGCAGGAAGACATCGGCGACACTTGCAACGGCGGCTTGGCGAACCCGGTTGCGCTGCACGAGGGCCTGCGCGAGAAGTACTCGCTCACGTCGTCCTCGAGAAGACGCGGCCGCCCTGGCGGCGACGTGGAGGAAGACGACGAAGTCGAGGAGTCGTCTGACAACGAGAGTGGCGACAACAGTCCCGAGCTGCGCGATCAAGTTGTCTACCAGCCGGCACATCCTCCCTCGCCGCTGAGCCTCTCCAATACGGACATGCACCTGGGGATCAAGCCACGCTCCGTATCATCATCGTCACCGCTGGGCGTGATTAATAAGTGAGTACAGCGAGCCCTTTGTAATCCAGCACCATTTGAGCTATGGACGTTTCTGCTGTATTAGGGAGGGTGCTGGATTAACAAATCTGACTTACTGCCGCAATGTGCATAAAGAGGACGTGTTGGTTACTGAACATTATGCCGGGGTTTATAAAGTGCTGGGTTAAAGAGGGACGACTGCAACGTTGCATGCACGGTGTTGAGAGTATGATCATGACGTAGGCTTTGTTTCACTGTATGGTAGTACCTTGTCACCCAATTTTTCAGTTTTCACCTAGATTTCATCACTGTGATAATTTTTTTGTTGCGCTATGGAGAAAATCGTGCAGATTCAAAATCTGCGATAAAATCTGGGCGGCCCCAAATCCTTTCCTTGTGAAATTGAGGTTCAAACGTGTCATTGGAGTTTTGGGCGAAACAGCAGCAATTGCGACCTTTGTACCTCTAGGGCAGTAGTACCAACCCTGGGGACCACCATTTCTAATTTCACAGAATCAATTCCAAATACGCTATGTACACGTGTACAGGATTTGAAGAGGATATAACATGGGTGCATTTTTGACCAAAACTGTCCCTAACCTCCTGAAGAATATACCAGATTCAAAAACACACTAATTTCCTTAATAATAGATGGATGCAAAGGTGGCTACTGCCACTCTCTCCCTCTCCCTCTCTCTCTCTCTCTCTCTCTCTCTCTCTCTCTCTCTCTCTCTCTCTCTCTCTCTCTCTCTCTCTCTCTCTCTCTCTCTCTCTCTCTCTCTCTCTCTCTCCTTCTCTTTCTCTTTCTCTTTCTCTCCAATATTGGTAATGCATGTGTGCGTGCGCGCGTGTGTGTGGACGTGCGTCACTTTGGTCTTGCTGTGCAGCAAAGTTGGTCCACCTCGCTTATTATCCATGCCGCTGACGATGACCATGGCAGACTCCTCTGAACAGGAACAGCAGCCGCAGAAAGAGTCCGCGCATGCAGAACTGTGCGAACAACACTCCGTGGAGTCTCACCAGTACAAGCTTCGCCGTAATGATGCGGAGAAAGAAGAAGATGGATGGCGGGAGGAGGAGAGGGACGTGCCGTACCGAAAACGCAGCGAGTGCCGAGCGAGGCTGCCACTTCGACGAGCCAAGACGACCGCTGATATAGCTCCTGGTGGTGATGCCAATAGTGACAGTGTAGTCCAAAGTAAGAGTCCGGCCAGTGTAACTCTTCCTGTGCAGCGTCCATCGCTGGCTCGTACGGATACGCGGTCAAACAGTCGCACGGATCTAGACCTTGCACGTCTGCTCAACACGGACTCTCTGGTGGCCATCTCGCACGAGCAGATCGACATGGACCACTCTCTTGTCAACGCCTGCAAGCAAGGTAAATATCTCACGATACTGCGGCAGCAATCCTAGCCCCGCTATCTCTCATCTCTTCTCTCTTCCAAGCCGTCCAGCATATGCAAAGCTGTGGACTCAGCATCCCGCTGATATTTTGCACACGAACCTGCAAACAGTGATTGTATTTGTACTATTAAAAGGTCTCCATGCAAAATGTCCAGAATTCAGTTTTGAGAAGGACAAAATGTTACGAGTTATGACTAACTGTCCACCAGCGTAACCAGACCATTATACAGTCAGCGAGTGCAACAAAAATGGCACAAAACTGACAAGGAGTACTGATACATTCAGCGACCTTATTAAATTGTCTCACCGTCCGCGTTCAAATTCAGTTTTGCCTGAGCTTTGCGGATGCGAGAAAATATCGAATTTGATTCACTACTTGCGATGTTAATAATAAAGGGCCCTGGGGTAATCATCATCATCAGCAGCAGCAGCAGTTGTGGTGTGGTGATTGAAGAAAAACTTGCGATGTTGCTTTGCAAATCATCTATCGGTAGATCTAATGTACCGTGCTTTTTGTGTGTGTTAAAGTGTGTGTGTGTGTGTGTGTGTGTGTGTGTGTGTGTGTGTGTGTGTGTGTGTGTGTGCGCGCGCGCGTGTGTGTGCGTACGCGTGTGTGTGTGTGCATGCGTGCGTGTGTGTTTGGATTGCCCTCACAACACAGGTAACGTGGACATTGTTCGCGGACTGCATGAGCTGGGCGCGTCGCTGACTAATTTCGACGAGCAGGGTCTGATGCCGCTGCACCATGCCGTGCGTCACAATCGCCTCTCCGTAGTCGTCTACCTGCTACAGCAGCTGCCCAAGGCCAGGCTGGCCGTGGTGGACATGCGCAAGAGACAGACGGCGTTGCACAAGGTATTGCACTGTGACTGTGTGTGGGTGTGGGTGGGTGTGTGGGTGGGTGTGGGTGTGTGGGGTAGCTAACGTGTTGTTACTGTGCCAAGTCTACATCGGCAGCGTCGTCGTTGTTGTCAAGAGTACATGAAAACCAGAGTGTGCAGCTTGGGGCTTTTTCTACTATGGGTGTCTGTCACGGCGGAATTCCGTGATTACATCGTATTTGCCGCAGATCTGAGGCGGGAAATGGCGTAGTGCGTACAACTGAGCTGCAGTTGTGCAGAAAGAGACCTGCTTGAATCCTGCATGTACGCACTGCAAAACTAAAATGATGTAATCACGGAATTCCGCCATGACAGCAACCCATCCGAGCTGCACACTCTGGTTTCATGTACTCGTGTCGTTATCCATTGCCGGTCAATGATGCGGCACCTCTCTCCATCTCGTTGATAGTCTCACTAGGGATAACGATCTAACTCTGCATCTCCGTGAAGTCGTTGGAGATGGACAGGCCGCATAGTCTGATGGGGTCACGTACCCATCTTGCATTTGAAGTGTAGCTGGCAGAATACACCACAAATGCATGGATACGGATTGTGCAGGGGCAGAGACTTGGAGGTGGCAAATTTCGCAACAGGTTGATACATTGCACTACTTTTCGAAGTGAATGCATTCTCTTATTTTGGAGCATAGTGCGCATCTGCGGTTTAGGGCCTGAAATAGGTTAAAGCCTGTCTCATAGAAGCCTGTTGTGGATAGAAGCCTGATTTTCAAGATACTCTGTCGGCACATACACCTGGTTTTACAAGTAGTATTGACATACATAGAAATACACTGTATCTGTCTTGTATATATTAAAGCCTGTCTCCTGTAGAAGCCTGCAAAAAATTCCTCAAAAAGTCATATAAGCCACGGCTTTTATGCACGACTTTAGGGCCTATCCATAATTCCATAATTATCAATCTTTTACACAAAACGAAAAGTTTCGTTCATGGGTGGGTGGGTCGAGGAGAGTTTCGTTATGAAAAAAATTGATAGCTGAAACATGAATCCATTCTCGCTGTCAAGTCAATATACTTTTTCGTTCGTTCGGGGGGGGGGGGGGGGGGTGGGGGGGAGGTCATAACTAAACTTTTTCGTTTCGTGAAAATTATCAATAATGCCGGATGGCCCCTTACGGTATATGCCATAGTATGTTACACCCAGGTTACTTTACACATTCTAGGTTATATACTGAACTATTGCACTGCCAATATACGTCCTCCCAGCTTGTAGTCGAGTTAGTACGATGTTTGGTTTCGTCTTTCGGTGCAGGCTGCTTGGTATGGCTACATGGATATTGCTATGGAATTGGTCAAGGCCGGCTCGCCGTTATTGCCTCGCGACTACGAGGGCCTAACAGCGTATCAGCGTAGCCTGGCGTCACCCAACACCGAACTGCATCGCTACCTGCTGGAGCTAGAGCAGGACAGAACGCGGGGCGACACCGAGGAGTCACGTCTCTGAGGATGTGTATGTGTGTGTGCGCCACAGAGTAAGTTGTACATTTCCCCCGCGTCGTCGCTGTCGGCTGACTTTGTCTCCTACCCGCCGCTGTCTTCATCGAGCACTAACACACACACACACTGGTGTGTTTCTCTGTAGTAGTCACAGTACGACTAGTCCTCCTCTGTGCTGCTGCTGCTGCCGATGCAGTCATTGCTAGCAGTGCTGGTGTAGTGCTTTGCGGAGCTGTGCAGTGCTATGCAGTGCTCTACAGGGCAGTGTTGAGCCAGTGTGCAGTGGTGTACAGTGCAGTACAGTGCTGTGCTGTGCTGTGCTGTGCTGTGCTGTGCTGTGCTGTGCTGTGCAATGCTAGTGCTGTACAGAGCGGTGCGGTGCTGTGCAGTGCTATGCAGTGCCGTGCTATGCAGTGCCGTGCTATGCAGTGCTATGCAGTGCTCTATCGAGGAGTGTTGTGCCAGTGTTCTACAGAGCTGTACGACGGCATTGATTGTTGATCTGCGCTGGTCGCCGTCCCGTCAAGTTAGTGTTAGTGTAGTAACCTGCCTGCCTGCCTGGCCCAGTCCCAGTCATCTCTATCTAGCATTGCATAATTGTTAGTTGGAAAGTCTGGCGTATAGCACTTCTACTATTAGTGGCAAGCGTTCTAGTAGCGACTGTGTCCATCTCTGTCGATGCTTCTCGCATCTACTTCCGCTTGCCGCGAGGCGAGCATTGCATCACCACGGGAGGTTGCATTGCGTGTTGTTTGGGAAGACTGTCATCTCTCACTCTCGCTCTGCCTTCCAGTGTGATGCTACACCGCTGAGCGGCGACTGCTCGTTTCATGCCACTGAAACTGTCCGTTGTATCTCCATCGTGACCATCAGTCTCCTCTGAGCGCGAGTGTAGTGGCAGTCTCGACTGCCGTACGTACCCGCCATGCTCCCCTTGAATCTCCTTCGCTCTCCCTCTGCTAGTTCGCCCCGGACATTTCCGTGTCGGCACTCCGTAGTCACACAGCGCGTGTGTTGGATATCACCCGTGCAGGTACCGATCTCATACATGTCGCCCACAGCAGAGTACCACACCCTCAGCCGTAACCGGAGCTAAATCAGCACATTATAAATATCAGGCACACTCACTCCCACCGATATATTATCTATATATATCTCTCTCTATATTATATTGTTCCCGTACATTTTCTTCTCTACTCCGCCATTTCAGCTACATAGTAACACCTAATTTACTGACATAATCCCGGCTTCCCAGCGCTAATCTCGTCGTTCACTTCCTTATCCTCATAGTTTGTGTTCAGCGATACTAACTGATGTCATATTTGTAATGGTTCTCAGCTAATATCACGCCACTGCCTAACATGGTGGGCACATGAATTTGCCAGACTATGATAAAGACCTATCGATCATGCCTAGACCTATTTCAAACCCCTGGAGTTCTGCCAGCCAGCGGCTTTATATATGCTGCTCGCCACGTGTTCCTGATGTAGACGTCCGGGTGGGCTGACTAGAACTTACTGGCCTCTCTGCCCATGCCGATATGCCTGCCTCGAGTGCACACGCGCCCGGATCATAAGCCCTGACTAGGCGCACCCCACGAAAGCAAAGCTGTCCGATTTTGCTTTGCGCTGATTCTGTTTTTATTACGACTTGCGGCATTGCGTTTTTTATTCCCTCCCGGCCTATTATTGACGCCATTTCTTGACTGCTTTTCGCAATCCTACCATGCTACCATTCTGAACAGCCTAACACACATAATTCTTTTTAGAAACCCCATTCTTTCTCCTCCAGCGTCACGTCACCTCTTCTGCTGCCTGCTTCGCCCTCTCCCTCCCCGTTTTTACATTGCTGGCTTCTTGAGACCGACCATGACATCCTCTTCATTTGCAATCGTTTACATGCACATGCGTTGTAAAAATTAATTCATTTCTCGTTGTATCGTGTGAATACATTACACCCATAGTGGCATGATCACAGTTTTAATCTTCAGAACATCTTTCGTACTTTCCAACAGCATTCTATTGCCTCTCTTGGTCTTCCATTTTTACACTGCATATCTTTGTCAGGTTTATGATGAAATCCTAGCGATGACCGCTGGCGGATGTGTGCTTGTGTGTGTGTGTGGGGGGGGGGGGTTTGGGTGTGTGCGCGCGCTCACACTCACATGTGCGTGCGTGTGGAAGAGTGCACTTTTTTCCAAGAGCTAGTGTGCAGCCCCAGTGGGTTTCCGTCTCGGCGGGAATTCCTAGGTTGCATCCTTGGTGCATGTTGATGTAGTGTGAACAAGCAGGTCTCCTGCTGCACAGCTGTGGCTTGGTTGCAAGCACTGCGCCGCTTTCTGCTGCATGTCTGCATCAGCTACATATATATATGTTGTAATCCCGGAATCTCGCTGTGATAAACCTGGACCCCGTGCAGAACACGTGAGAAGATGCACACTCTTGATCTCAGCAGGACTACCCGTGGTGTGTGATGACCAGGGAGTAGTAGTAAAATACTGGTATTTTACGAGAAATCGCGATTCCACGGATGCAACAAATTTCGCGATTTTCAGCAAAATCCGCAATTTCCCAGCGTGTTTTGTTGTTTTCTGCACTATATCTCACTTTTCCATTCACTTTTCGCTAGTGGTGAAACGAATGTCAAAATCTGGTAGCAGAATATTCTTTGGCTTAATGAACGAACGTACGAATATTCTTTTGGTGACACAGATGACATCACATGCCCTCCTCTCAGTCATTTGATGGATATTGTCATTACTACTAGGTATAACAAACGGTAGTGCCACATAAAATGCACTGCCACATAAGGCTACATGTACTTCGAAGTTCATACAATCATGTTTAATATGTGCAACGTTGGCCGTCCAGTATGCACATACATGTGCAAGCATGCAGTGCAAAGTCACAGGCAGGCTGTGCTCACTGTCTGTACTGTGTTTGGCGTGCATGCATGTACATGCACTGCATTCAAAGTGACGTCACGAATACTCGAATGCGACTTAAAAAATATTCGAATGTGACCAACCGAACGAATGTTCGAATATTCGAATATTCGTTTCACCTCTACTTTTCACGCAATGCTTTCCATGATCCTGTTGGTTGTTTGCACAGTACGACTCGGACTACTCCCGAGTAGATATACGATGCAACAAATTTCGTGATTTGGCCCAAATCCGCAATTTTCTGTAAATAATTCCGCGAATTCCTGGCAAGTTCTGCATCATTCCGCACTTTTCGTCACATTTGTTGTTGTTTTCTGCCGCAATTTCTTGCGCAAGTTTTCGAGAGTTTTTTCCGCAAATTCCCGCGGGGACAGCCTGGTGATGACCATCGTGATCAAGGCTGCCATTTTTTTTGGTTTTCAGGGAGTGCCGGCGGCCGTTGGGAGGTTCAATAGCCAACAGCAGGAAGGCGCATGTAACTGTACACACTGGATCGGTATGAGCTTGTCGGCATATTTAGGGCCTGGCTGCTAGTATTCACGGCACCCAATCACACATGCACACACACCCATGCACGCACGCACACCCACACACACACGCACACCATACACACAGTCACACGCACAAGTGCGCGCGTCCGGTCTACAAACGGACTCTGCCTTCAGGCATGCGAACATAGCACGTAGGATGGATCGGAAACCATACTCCTACCCAGGTTTCAGGCACAACTACCCAGGTTTCAGGTACTCCTACCCAGGTTTCAGGTACTCCTACCCAGGTTTCAGGTACTCCTACCCAGGTTTCAGGCACACCTATCCAGGTTTCAGGCACAACTACCCAGGTTTCAGGTACAACTACCCAGGTTTTAGGCACTCCTACCCAGGTTTCAGGCACACCTATCCAGGTTTCAGGCACAACTACCCAGGTTTCAGGCACACCTACCCAGGTTTCAGGTACTCCTACCCAGGTTTCAGGCACTCCTACCCGGGTTTCAGGCACACCTATCCAGGTTTCAGGCACTCCTACCCAGGTTTCAGGCACTCCTACCCAGGTTTCAAGCGAACGTGTACACGTATACTCACACCATAACCCAGGAAGTCAAAGTCGTGACATTGTCAGGGCGTCAATTAGGAAACGAAAATAATACTGCTGGCAGCAGACAGCAGAAGCAGTTTACGGCATGGCACAGAGCACTTTAGCAAGATGTTACGAGCAAGGGACGATGATGAGAGTCGCCAGGAAAGTAGCGGAGAGAGAGAGAGAGAGAGAGAGAGAGAGAGAGAGAGAGAAAGAGAGAGAGAGAGAGAGAGAGAGAGAGACAGAGAGATTTGCAATATACCAATCGGCTAGCAGTAGCAGGCGGCGCCGGCTTCGACAGGCCTTGTACAGCGGCACTGCAAGATGAGTGAGCTGAAGATGGAACCGAACAGTATGCACTGGACCTGCAAGAGGCGAGCATCTGCACAGCGTGGCTTCTGGTCCAGGTGATACGAGCAGACGACTACTTGCACACCAATGCATTGGCTTGATATACACGCACCGGGCAGACTAGGCAGGCCAGCAAGCAGCAAGGAAGGATTGAGAATCCGCAGCTTATTGCACTGAAACTTAGTAGCATAATCAGTACACCAGGATCCAAGAGGCAGTCACGGATTGGGAGAAGGAGTGAGATAGAGTATGCGAACAAGGAAAACATGCCCAGCAAAATCAGTTGGGCCACCATCAGCATCACTACCGGAGAATACCACACGCGTATCAATGTAACGAGGGACACAGTCAAAGGCAGTCAAATTGCTTGGGGAGAAACGGTGAAAGAAATTTTAAAACTATCTTACGTGTTGAGAACAAGGTTACACACGGATTTCAGCAGTGCTCCAGCAGCAGGCTTGATCTCGTTCACCAGTCCTTCTTGATATCCAGACCCCACTCCCACGCCAGGTAGACGTGCTTGTCGTCATCGCAGAACTTGCTCTTCATCACGTACTTGCCGCGTGCAATCAGGCCCGATGGCGCCTCGTCCACGGGCGTCATGTACGTGTGAACCTCCTTCCTGGGCCCGTAGCTGCCCAGCATAAATCCCTCCGTGTCCACTGCAGAGGGAGCATACGGAGGCAAGCCATGGCACATGGCAGTGAGCGAAGGCAGACGACAGGAGCATGGGTGCAGCAAATGCAATTTTCGGTCTTTGACCACTTCACAGTTGCTAAAATCTTTTCTCTTCCCACGGCTTTGGGAACTGCGTGTACACCCTGTTCCTCGCGGGTGGTGAGGTTGCAAAGGATTCAGGTAAGTCAGCCTGACCTAGTCCCGTGCAAACTTTCAAATGTATTACTACCTCCGACAAGCGAAACTTGGCGCGTTTTTTTGATTTTTGTGTTGGTAGACCTACCACAACTACTGTATTTTTCCGGTTGTAAGTCGACCTTTCACGACTAAAAATAGAAGGAGAAAGGGTGGGGGTCGACTTAAAACCGGGATTCTACTTATAACCGGGAACTATCAGTATCTTACAAAAAATGACGTGCACTACATGCACGAGAGCACCATGTGTACACATTTTTGCCAGTTTATTGGCTTTTTTCAAGGATTCGGAAGTTATACTCTCCAATAAGGAATTTTTACATGATTTGTTGATGTGTTAGTAGCAGGGAGTGGTTAGTAGTGCTTCGTTGGATGAAAACTTTGAAACGCAGAATTGAGACCTCCGGATATGGGGGTCGACCTATAACCGGAGTCGACTTACAACCGGTAAAATACGGTAATTACTTCACAAGGCTGTGAGGTACGACCTACTTTTAAGTTGTAGCTCCATGCAACCGGATGCAGGAAGCCAAGCGACGAGCTAGTGAGTGGCACATGGCTCAGACTTGGTCAGAGGCAAGCCAGTCTCTCGTGTACCAGCAAAACAGTGCGCGCGTCCATTCTGCGAAGGAGAATCGTCGTGCTTTCGCGTTGCAATGGAAAACCAAGGAGTTCTCTCTCTCCACTTGGTCACTCCGCCAGCACAGAGTCCATACGTCCATGCCAAACAATCCTAGCGTCTTTCAATAGCCACCAGAGCGATGCGTCTCTGGTGGCTAAGGCACATCGCCAGGAATTGCTGCAGGCAATTTTGGACAGTTGGCGAGAAAACCCGGCAAAACAGTTGGAGTCCAGGCACTTGTGGAGGTGTTGCACAGTTCTTACCACGTCAACCTGGATAGTGGCGGCGGAAACGACTATCCTCGGCACCGTGGCTCGAGCACAGCACCCAGGAGCGACATCGAGATTTTCAGAGCGATTACAACAGAGGTACTTGCTGCAACTGAATCCGCTCTAGTCGCACTTTCGTCTCAAAAACAGGAACAATTCCTCTCCAGACGAAACTGCGATCTCTGAATCAGAGGAGAGTGATTCAGTCGAACAGATGTCTCCAATGTCCTTGTTGAGCGATACAAAGTTGAATTTTGGTGAGTCAATCATTAGTTTTGATTGTAAAGTGTGAGTTATTTCTAGTAATTTGAAGTAAAAAATCGCGCCAAGTTTCCCTTGTCGGAGGTAGTATTTATCCAGCACTTTCACTCGTACGCTTTGGCCATTAGAGGCAGCTCTGCGATCGTAGATGCCGTATACAGCCAAGGCATCAAAACAACAGTTAGCCTGTGGTAGGAGGATATCCGGCATACGTACGCACATCTTAACAGACGTAAACTAGCTGAGATATCTTTCTTTTTTCATGCCGCGTGACAGGAACAGCATGATACAATTTTTTTACATTTTTTTTACGGAGAGTATGCAGATAGGGCTCTGATAAAAATATTCACAAAATTATGATACAAAGTTGATCGCACCTAGGCAACGACTAGTGTACTTCTCACGTGACATACTAAATACAGTGAGGATCCACATGGGTACTGTAATTTCACAAATGTTCGGTGTACTTTTATTTTCGGTACTTTCGGTGCATCTGTTTCATACCTAAAATGCCAATAAACCGAACAAACACTAACACACGTAATCCACTAGGAACCTGCTTCTCTGAACTTTTAAACATTTTTCTTCACCTAACCTGGACTTTTGCCCTCATACCGAAAATATTGAGCACCTGCAATTTCTGAAATTAGAGTAACCTTCAGACGAAGAGTGAATACAAAAAGGAGAATCTGTGTGTCCACAGAGAGCGCTGGTCCAGAGTGCTACGTCACACTAACTCACCCTTTATGCCCTTTCTGTAGGTGGCATGTGAATACACTAGGCCGGTGACAATCTCTCTTTGAACCTGCATTTCAAACGTACACGCGCACACACAAACACATATGCACACACGCGCGCACACACACACACACACACACACACACACACACACACACACACACACACACACACACACAACATACGTGTGACACGCACATATCAATATCAGTCCCTATCAAGCAAAACCCGTGGTAAGACAGTGACCGACACTTGCAGACATGCTTGTTTGGTTTGCGAGCTGACAGCAGTTATGTGAAGGGCGACTGTCCCAAAATGGTAGTATTCCAAACTTTGGAATCAAATTACAGTTTAACGCCCAATAGAGTGGTTTCACATCTATCACATCGCCATCTCACCACATGGGACATGTTAGCCCCAACACGGGATGCATGGGGATATACAGTAAGATCGGGCGCCGAAGAACACCTCGCCGAAGAACACCCAGGCTGGAAAACCGGCAAAATTTAAGAACAGTCCAGGCTAGAATTATCAGATTTTAAGAACACTTTTTAAAATTTGGAATTTCCACATGAGTGCAGTATTTAACTGATCGGCTTTGAGCTCGCCACAACACCTGTACATAATAATAATAATAATAATAATAGTAATAGCACATGCACAGTATTACAGGTGAGTACATGTCATGTACTCGTGTAAACAGTAACTGCTACATGTACAGTCATTCCCATTTACGACACCCACAGGTGACCCACTAGGTTAGAAGTACTACATTGCACTACATCATAGTACATGTACAGTCATGTACAGCCATGACGTTTGTCATGTACATGTACATGACAAACGTCATGGCGTCACTCGACTCGCCGCGCGCGTGTGAATAAGAACGGTCTGGCTAGAATCAAAAATTTAAGAACTTTCCTAGGCTGCGCTCGAGCCCCTGCGTTCTTCGGCGCCCGATCTTACTGTAGGGATGCACCCCAAGATACAGATTCCGACAACTTATGAGCATAGCTGGTGCGTTAGTACGCGCTTGAGCAGAACAGGCACCCGGAACATTCGCTTTTCTCAACTTGTGCACAATGCTCGTATTCCGCATGCATGAAATACTCCTTCATGTCCCTATGCTTTTTTCTGTCACCGTTTCTTTTCATTTCGTCTTTTTCAGTTTGGCGCGCATGCGCGGTGTTGATACCGAGACCCTGGGTCGGTTTAACTGCTTCAATTGCTTCTGCTTAGCCTCCACATACTGGCCAACCCTCCCGTTTTTCCCGGGAAAATCCCGGAAAATCAACACTCCTCCCGGGGTCCCGGGGATTTCAAGCAAACTCCCGGAAAAACCAAAGTTTTGTCTGATACAGGATTTTCCTGAAAACTCCATGGTTTCTCCCCGAATGTCCCGGTTTTTTGAACTTTTTTCAAAGGTATGTACGGTGCTCATTCGCACTTCGAACTGTGCACAGCACTTTGAAGACCTAGTACCTGACCATGCAAGATCTGCACTGACAAAGTGACAGGCGGGCGCCGACTGATCAAACTGCACTACAGCCTAGTACAGGGTCGATTTGTGCTGTACGCACAGCTGCTGAGTCGAACGTTTTTTGGCGGGAAAAGCTCTTTTTAACTTGTTTTTGTGCCATCCAGGGATTTTGAGAGAAATCCAGGGATTCTGCATGTCTTGTCAAGGGATTGAGATTGTTGTGGTTGGTCAGTATGCCTCCACTGCTTCGGCTGGCATTGCTATGTGCCTCCCTGCTATCTCTTGCTGGCATTTGCACTATGATGGTTTGTGGCCATCTTGTAAAAATGAAGAAAAAAACTCCGGCATGCAGTGAGCACGGTTTTCACGCGGTGTTACCTACCCGGAATGTGATTCTTAGTCTGTAGCTGCAGCCTTCCTTCACTGTGAACGGCGAGCTCTTCAGCTGAGAAGTATCACCTAAACACAGCAAATGTACACGCACGCACACATACACACACACACACACACACACACACACACACACACACACACACACACACATACACACACATATACACACACACGCACACATATACACACACGCACACACACACACACACACACACACACACACACACACACACACACACACACACACACACACACACACACACATACGAACACACACACACACACACACACACACACACACACACAACAGGACGCACAGGCAACAGGATGCAAGCGCAATCCAGTAAATCTACGGCGAGGCAAACTACACGTCAGCTATTCTCTCCGGATAGTAGAAGTGAGGGCCTGCTAATCCGTATCTGCAATGTTCAGGGAGCTCCCGTGCTTACTCCATGGAAATCCACACAATCAAGTGTGTACACACATAAATCCGCACGTGCGCGTGCACACACACGCACACACAAACTGGCACACACACCTGTGAGATCCAGCGTTATGTCGTCACGATCGGCAACAACCAGCGTAATCGACTTGACAATAACATTGCTACCACCCTCTGTGCAAGGAGACAGACACAAAGAGCAAAGCGCACAGCATCTTGTAGGCGTATATGCAATACACAGCCTGTTCAACTGCACTGCCCCTAGCAGTGACTGTGTGACTCATGCACACGGAAAGAATGGCAAAAACAGGTGCACGCCTGTAGAAACCTAACAGGCATGAAATCTAGTGTCACAACAACAATCTGAGACCACCAGTAGCTTTGTGCTCGGGCAAATGACTTCGCCGTTAGGCCGCCAAACCAGTGTACCCTAGCCATTGGCGGATGACGCCAGCAGGAAAATTGTCATCAATTCGGGTACTTTCTGGGCATGTTTCATGCATGTTTGGTATACGGATAAAGAAATGGAGCAGAATTCGGGGCATGCCTGCCATAAGGTTTGTATGGCTCTTCCAATTTCACTGCTCTTTGAGCGGAATCTGCCAATGTTTGGAGCGTTATCTGCCAAGGGCTACAGTAGTGCACCCGAGACAGGAGGATGAACTGTACATTAGAGAGGTTCAGCATTACGTAAACTTGAGCAACTTGACGTTAGTGGGCGGGAAAACCCGTGAATTCGCGAGTTTGAACTCCACTTACGGAAATTTGTCTACGTAGAGTACGTAGGTAGGGCTGTGATAACGTCCCGCACCCCGGGTGCACTGCAGTGTGAATGGCCCATTACTACATACAGTCAACCTCGCGAATAACAACCTCGGACATAACAGCTGACGAGTAACAACCTCGGACATAACAGCTGACGAGTAACAACGCTATCTTCAAGAGGCCGAACAACCACCTGACTTATAATAAAGAAAAGTACCAAGGAACTACAAGTCACGCTGTTATGCCCACTAACACCATCAGTTACTTGACAATCAGCTCATGCGATAACATTGCACACAACTGACCGACAGTGTAGTCCCTCGGTCCTTTTCTTTATTATAATTTGATCATTGGCTCTCCATCCGAGTCTAACCATTTGACTGCATACGTTTAAGCATTGCGAATACCGACAACTCGCGAGTAACAACGCTTGAATTGTGCGAGACCGGGTTTCTCTATTCGCAAGGTTGACTACAAGTATGGCTAGATGTGTGCTGTGTTGCGCTGTTGGATGCCATCCATAACGCTTTTTTTTGCAACACGAGGAAATCGGAGGAAATCCATTGCAAAAATATTTTACCGTATTGGGCATCTGCATCCGGGGGCAGGGTGTGCGATTTCTGGGTGCATTAATTCTTCAGCAGCATGCAGTGCATGTGTGCATGATGTCAACACCACAGCTGTGACCTGTGCTACGTGCCTACACTACAGTTATTCTACGATATTCGATAGGTGGAGAGCATGGTAGAGAAAGTTACTGTTAGGATTGGGGGATGATTACTAATACATGTAGTACTACTACTAGTGCTACAGGATGCATGACCAAGATAGTGATAAAAATGATAAGTTTATTACCAGTCATGCAGCAGCATCGACCAGAGAGTGTTGTGCTTGGCTGGCGAGCACAGTGCACATGCAACCCGTTACATCGTACTTTCACGGAGGAGCGATACGGTAGGATTTTGCTTCGGCTCGGATTCGCACTCATTTCCACTCAGGCAACAATGGTAACCCACGGGGTGTCGGCCACGCGACTGACATTTCCACCGACAAACTAAACATGTAGCCGGCAGATACTAGTATAATGGCGTGCACACCATTGAGTCATTGAACCATTGGGACGCGTTATTATTTATCACCACCACAACTTGCACAAGGCTACGACGCACTGATGGCCATCAACGACTGGGAAACGAACAGAATATTATGCAAGCTAGAGCTTTTTTTCCCAGTGCATTTCGTGCAGGCGAACATTTCGAGGTGAACGAAAGGTAGATGATGCCAGCGAGTCGCACACCGTTACCCATACTCCAAGCGAACAGCACAGACGCACAGCCGCTGATTCTGTGATGCTGCTATGCATGCAGTACCTACACTGGGAAATTCAGAATAGTTTAGCATAACGCAAACTAGTAGGGGGCAGACGTGAGACACGCTTGCTAGCAGCCATGCCAAAAAATCAAACGACGAAGTGGAGAAAAGTGCCTCGAATGAAGGTCATAACGTGGCGCGGAGAGCGAGTGAAACAGCCTATAGTACAATGGATCCACCACTTACCGTCCAGCATCTCAGCATTCGCAGCTTCGCCCAGCAGCATTTTCTTGTATTTTACCAGTGACTCATCGTCTTGGTCAAGCTTCTGGATTTCGTCCAAGGATTTCTTCGCTGGTGCCTTGTAGCCCGGTGTCTGGAGTTCGTCCTCCTCGCCACCAGCCGCGGCGGCTACTGTTGGATCCTCTTCTGATGCCATTATTCAAGTAATAGAGACGTCACCCCAAAAACCTACTTCAAGCCCAAACGACAACAGCCCAAATCCACCCAAACTTCTCCGGGAGCCAAAGCTGCAAAAAATATGCGAGCGAGTGTAAAGCAAACGCTACACCATCATAATCACTCGTCAGGCATCACAGACACTCAGCTAGATCTACAACTTTCTTACAAGACTGCAATGCAGTCAGTAGGCCAGGATCCCTGACTATGTTACGTATGTGCGCATGGCCCGTGGTGGTCGATCCAGCAGCGGCCAGCCTTCCAGTTCCAGCCTTCCCCAAGTATTTAGTTAGTTCCAGCAAGGTCTAGTGACTCATGCTCACTGACTACATCAGTCATGATCATGTCTACGCCGTACGCGTAGATCTACGTCTGCGTAGATCTACATGTTGTATGCAGGCTTCAGTCAAACTAAGACGAGTTGTAGTAAGACGAGTTGTTCTTGCGGATGGCGCGGATCGGGGCAGCCGGAACGAAACTGCCACGGCGTCGCTCCGCGCAGCGCTTAGCGTCGCGGCCCCACTGACACTCGTCATGGTGTGTGTGTGTGTGTCCGTGTGTACAGTGTGTGTGTGTGTCACTGTGTGTGTGTGTGTGTGTGTGTGTGTGTGTGTGTGTATGAAAAAGACCAACAAGCAGGGATTCACTGGCCAGAAAATAAAAGGCCGCTTCATAGCTGTGTGGTGTAGACCAGGCTGAATATTGGTGGTCAATTCTTCAGCCTTGCAAGCTGTTGAATGGTGCAATCCCAGCACAAGCTGCTATGGTTTCTGCTGTAGCATCGCTATCATCGCCTCCGGCGATGGGCGTCCAATGGTCCAATGGTGTGTGTGTGTGTGTGCGTGTGTGTAACGATAATTTTCTGCCAAACCAAATCACTCCATTGACTTGTGTATACAATGCCAATACCTGTTGTTAGTTTGACAGCATGAAACAAGGTGGAGGACACTGTGTTCGGAAACAGTGACCTTACTACAACCATCCACGGTTGGCAGAGCCCCGGTCCGTCCGGGCACGGACCGGGGCTCTGCCAACCGTGGATGGTTGTAGTAAGGTCACTGTTTCCGAACACATTGTCCTTCACCTTGTTTCATGCAGTCAAACTAACAACACGTGTGAACTACAACAAGGTTTATTGAATACTAGTATTGAACTAGTATTGGGTTATAATTATAATACCAATATATTATCAATATCAATATCTATATGTACAGTGTGTATCTGGCGCTTATCTTGATCTGTTTCATTCAGAATCAGATCCGATATCATTGCTATAAGAAGATTGCGCTATTTTTCTTCTCCCTTCGCTCCCCCTTATGTTCAGGCTACCTCTTTTGGACCGTCAGTTGCATGGCTGTTCTTAGTTGAGATTGTGTCTGGTTAATTCCTGTAACGAACGAATAGATACTTCCAAGTACATGTACGTGATTCTCAATTTATAGGCCCCGGCGGATAATGCTCGAGAATTTGATGGATTCTGCTTTTCAATATGCTCGCTTTCTGCTCCAAAATAGTACTGATAATGCTTGAATTCTGCTTCGGAAACATGGATATAGTGGCATAGATGACTAATGTTGCAGATTGATAACAGCATACATGTACATGTACATGTATTTTGCAGCATCAGTCACGTTTACGAAACAGAAAAATACAAGAAGCACAGAACTATTATTACTCAGCAGGCAAAGGCGCGGTAGTACTAGTCGCGGGGGCATTGTGAATTCTCACGAAAATCCCATATTTTGCAATAATAATTATGCTAGTTGTCGCTAGAATAATGCTAGTTTTCGGCAAAACTTGCCTGATAGTGTTGAAACGAATAATCGAATAATCGAATAATTTCGTTCGATGGAGGGCGAAATTATTCGATAGATTATCCGTTTGAAGAATCCGTGTTCGGTTTAAACACTACTGATTATGCTAGCGCAGTGCTACATTATAGTCTCCAGAAAATGCTCAATATAAATGTAATGCTAGCATAATCCGCCGGGGCCAAGAATCTCAAATCACGTCAACTTCTTAGAGGGACTATTGGTGCCTGTTCAGGGTGCACTACGTGCAACTCTAAGTTTCAACATGGTGTCTCAGTAACAGTCTTCCTTTCCCTCTACATGTACTGATTTTGTTGGGTTTACAGGCTATGCGGCCAGCTGTATGATTCTATGAAGGTACGCTTTCCAACGGCCAAAGAGAGTTGGAAAGCTTGTGTCTTTGTGGGTAATTTGAACGTTGCCACTGCCGAGCCACCGTGCTCACAGTAGAAATCTTTGGCTATGTACATGTACACATGTACATGTACATGTACACAATAGTCATGTACATGTACATGTGTACATCTACATGTACATGTACAAATATTACACAGCAATGAATCAAACAAGTCTCATTCCGCTGTTACTCCGAGTTTCGTGTCAGAACACTTCATCAGACAGCATCTACATGTACATGTACATGTACATGTACATGTAGATCTGCACTGCACTGCGAACATGTATAATGTGATGCATGCACTTGAAAACAAAAAAAAACAGAAAAACTACATGTAAGTACACAGTTAGTTACATGACTGACTGTAGTTACATGCAATTTGTTAGATTGACAGCATGAAACAAGGTGGAGGACACTGTGTTCGGAAACAGTGACCTTACTACAACCTTCCGCGGTTGGCAGAGCCCCCCCCCCCCCCCGTCCCTGCAGACCATTTGTAAGGTCACTGTTTGTGTTTCCGAACACAGTGTCCTCCACCTACATTGTAGTTTCATGCTGTCAAACTAACAATATGCGTGAACTTTAACAACAAGGTTTATCTAATACTAGTACTGTAGTTTTGAACGTAACCAAGGTAACGTATGACTTGTACTTTTAGTTTTAGTAATACTAATACTAAAGTAATAGTTGACTGACTGTACCTTTCACTTGACGTAACGTTGAGCCAGCCCGGGACTCAGACCCGGTGGCCGCCGCCGGTGCCTTCTGCCACGTGGAGTTGATCATGACTGCACACAGTCGATCTGTCAGTGGCCGGCAGCGTTGCAGTACTACACAGAGAGACTCCATGCAGACAACGATCTCGAAGCTACTCTGGCTAGAGACGTGCATGCATGCTTGGTATGTTGTCGCATGACAGCTGGGAATCTTGAAAACTCCCCGACCCACCACTGCTTGCCCAGTTTCATTGAAACCTACGCACACTCCGCTTTTTTGCCTCTTGACTTCAGTCAAGACAATTTGTTCAAAGTGTAGGATGTCTTGAAGAGAATGAACGACAAAGAGGGCACGCCGGGGTACTCGTACTGGGACTAGATCCACTGGCGGTAGCTTGCTGTTGATTCAGCCAGGCCCGTCGTAACTCAGACACTGCATCCCTTTACTAGCGATAGCCCTGAACCAATCCATTGCAAGTCCGCGCTTTGATCGAAGGATCCACATCAAATTGACGGCGAGGCTGGCAGCAATCGTCCGTCGAAAGAGCTACAGGTGGAACGAATTATTTGTTGGTCAACACAATTTTATTATCTCAATCACCAATCGTAGCCTGCTGATATCAGCTCCGGATTTGCGCTGCACAACGTGGCGATCTAGGCTGTAATGGCTCGTCTTGTTGCTGCGCGCTCGCTGCCTCGACTGGTCTTACCTGAACCAGCAGCGATGAATGCGGCCGGAGATACACACGGTTACATCGGCAGTGAGATCGCTTCGCCAGCTGAGGATATGCTGCACTGTGGATCGCTGCCAACCCTCGACTCCGTCTTGGCCAACGAGTTGGCGAAACGAATGGGCAGCGATCCTGCTGCGGAGGACGACGACGAAGCGGAGCACGATAAACGTAAGCTCTTTGTTTTCTGACAACTAGACTAACGTGTTACTTACTATGTGCACGTGCGCTACAACACGCACCACGCTTGGGGACATATGGGACAGCAGGAGCACGATGACAAAGTTTATTTGCGTGTTTGTATTTGTCCCAGAATACTGAATAGTATCGTCTTCGTCTGCGATGGTTTTGTCGCGTTTGTGCATTGTGGGATGTCAGTATTTCTATGTACGTTATGTACATGGACACGATCGACATTCGTAACTGAACTGAATGGGCCAGAGTCCATTTAAAAAATGGACACAAGACAAGACCAGATTAAAATTGGTCTTGTCTTGTGTGAATGTGTTACTACCAGCGTAACTATATTCCTACGGTCAGTATTACAGTGGTAAAGACACACCATAATTATAATACAGAAAAAATGATTGAGCAATCCTGAACTCTACAATTCAGCACAATGCACTGCACTGCACCCAAGCAGAACAGTGCTTAGTTTCAGAACAGTTCTGGAACTTACTATCCATGCAGCTAAATACAGTATTACTCACACTATGATTGTGTGGTGCTCTGCTCAGAAGCTTCAATAACTTCTACTTGTAGTACTGAGAATTGGAAGTATTTTTGGAGTGCAGCTGAAGTGTACAGGAAAATGTCTGAATCAGCGGTGAAACAATTCATCCCTGACCAGCGGCCAGCAAACACAGTCATAGTCATTGCACCGTCATGTATGTGTTGTTGGTGCATGCAGCACATCTGTCTGCCCAGCGTATCCCTTCTGTGCACCAGTGAAATGTGTGTGTGTGTGTGTGTGTGTGCACATGTGTGTGTGTGTGTGTGTGTGTGTGTATGTGCACATGTGTGTGTGTGTGTGTGTGTGTGTGTGTGTGCATGTGTGTGCGTGTGTGTCTAGATTCTTGGTTGGAGGAAACAAATCAGCACACGAAGCATAGAAGCCATTATAGTTTTGACTAGGCCTTTCATTCCATTACTATTACATTTACACACTACCTTGTTAATCACCATTGTACTCGACTTGAAAAGTAATGGTATGAAAGGCCCTGTCGAAACTATATGGCTTCTGTGCTTCGTGTGCTGACATGTGTGTGTGTGTGTGTGTGTGTGTGTGTGCACGTGTGTGAGTGCACATGCGTGCGTATGTGTGTGTGAGTGCACGCACATGTTTGTGTGTGTGTGTGCGTGTGTGTGTGAGAGAGAGAGTGTGTGCGTGTGCATGGACTTCGTTGCCGGCTCAAGCCAGACCGATATTCTGGCGGCTTTTTTTGCTCCCAGGTCACTTCACGGCGTTCTTATTTGTCATGCCAGGGTGGTAAATGTCCACAGAGCCAACAATCTGGTGTGATTTTTTCAACAAGTTCCCTGTGGATTCCCGAGACCCTTCTACTACACGATTAGGGCATGGCGGGATCACCCCCCCCCCCCCCACAAAGAAAGATTCTCATCCCCATGATGTTTTTCTCTAGCTATATCTGTGTGCATGTGCTTTGGAACAACTTCTACACAAGCATACAATCATGTACTTGTGTGTGTGTGTGTGTGGTGGTTGGGGGGGGGGGGGGGGTGTTTGGTCAGACACACACACACACACACACACGCGCCACCCCAAACACACACGCACACATGTGCGCACACACGCAAGCACTCAAAAACACACTCACATGCTTTGCTTATCCCTACATACGTACATACCTGGAAGTGCCTTGTCATGATGTTTTCCTCTTCTGCCTGCAGAACTACGACTGGCGGCACACGTCGGGCAGATTCTACTCGAGCGACACGACAAGCAAGAGCAGAAGATCGAACAACTGCAGCGCTTCATCGAGGAGATTCTAGAACAAAATCGGGTGAGTGAAACACACGTTCTCTATCTGTCGATGTTCTGTTTTCATTCACAGGACGGGCAGAGTGCTCGGGGTGAGTTGATGTTTCTGGACACGAATACAGTAAAGCCTGTGACTAACGACCACCCCATGGGGCCAGAGAAAGCGGTCTTTAGTGGCAGGTGGTCCTTAGTTAGAGGTTTGCACCGCACAACCATAATTATTAATAATAATAATAATTATTACACAAGAGAGATTGGAAGCTTTGTCACCAATAATAATTATTATTATGAATGTGAGACCCTCTGTGCCTGGCAAAGTGGTCAGTAGTACCATGCTGGTTGCTAGTCACGGTGGTCTGTAGTACCATGCTGGTTGCTAGTCACGGTGGTCTGTAGTACCATGCTGGCCGCTAGTCACGGTGGTCTGTAGTACCAGGCTGGTCGCTAGTCACGGTGGTCTGTAGTACCAGGCTGGTCGCTAGTCACGGTGGTCTGTAGTACCAGGCTGGTCGCTAGTCACGGTGGTCTGTAGTACCAAGCTGGTCGCTAGTCACGGTGGTCTGTAGTACCAGGCTGGTCGCTAGTCACGGTGGTCTGTAGTACCATGTTGGTCGCTAGTCACGGTGGTCTGTAGTACCAGGCTGGTCGCTAGTCACGGTGGTCTGTAGTACCAGGCTGGTCGCTAGTCACGGTGGTCAGTAGTACCAGGCTGGTCGCTAGTCACGGTGGTCTGTAGTACCAGGCTGGTCGTTAGTCACGGTGGTCTGTAGTACCATGTTGGTCGCTAGTCACGGTGGTCTGTAGTACCAGGCTGGTCGCTAGTCACGGTGGTCTGTAGTACCAGGCTGGTCGCTAGTCACGGTGGTCTGTAGTACCAGGCTGGTCGCTAGTCACGGTGGTCAGTAGTACCAGGCTGGTCGCTAGTCACGGTGGTCAGTAGTAGCAGGCTGGTCGCTAGTCACGGTGGTCTGTAGTACCAGGCTGGTCGTTAGTCACGGTGGTCTGTAGTACCAGGCTGGTCGCTAGTCACGGTGGTCTGTAGTACCAAGCTGGTCGCTAGTCACGGTGGTCTGTAGTACCAGGCTGGTCGCTAGTCACGGTGGTCTGTAGTACCAAGCTGGTCGCTAGTCACGGTGGTCTGTAGTACCAGGTTTTACTGTACACTGACACAGCACATTATGCATCACACTGACGTTGTCCGTTAACAATGTTATGTGGATAGTACCGTTGCAATCTATATCATCTGCACGTGATGGGCCGAGAATTATCTGAATATTCCCATCTTCTGCATTTCCTGGATTCGAATGGCTTCATTCTTGTTCAGTGATAAGTGTAGGTCAGAGATAGCTTGGAGAGTATTATGAGGATAAATGGTTATAATGGATGGGTGAGAAGAGAAAGGATCACTACTAGTATCTGAACAACAGAATTGTTGCATTATGATTTGTTCCTCATTCACATGCGTAATTTCCCCACTGATGATTGGAACGAGAAAATCGATTCTGGATTTCAATATCATTGTTATAAAATCCACACACATGTCGACCAAGTAACATAGTTGCGTGATGTCTGCGGCCTTCATAGCTGCATTCACATCTTAATATTATTATAGTCTGCCCCCCCCCCCCCCTGCACCTTGCCAAAATGACCATCCTGTAGCAATAGACGGATAGTTCTACTGCAACCTGGCACACAAAGCAAGGGAAATCATTTTACTTTTGCTCTCTGTTTTTGTTTCCAGGAACTCAACGGCGACCTGGGGGCAGCACGGGAGAACAGCCGAGTGCTGGAAGCAGAGCGCGACTTCCTGGATGCCTCGTTGCAGGAGGTTGAGGTGCAGCAGCGGGACATGGCTGCAGCTCGTGTCACTGCTGATGTACGGCAGGCCAATCTGCAGCAACGTGTGAAGGAAATGAGTACGCGGTGCGAGGAGCAGGAAGCCGAGGTCAGTTTCCCTGCCATCGATGTGTTGTTTGTTGCTGTGTTCTGACATTGAATGCAACTACATAATGTACATGTACGTACAGTCATCCACTGCTGTGCATGAGTATGTGTGTGCATGCATGCGTGCATACATGGGTGTGTGGGGGGGGGGGGGGGGGGGCACGGCTGTCACAATGGTCATGTACTCAGCCAAAAAATATGGCGTCCAAAAATTTGAAAATTTGAAAATCTCATCACCGATCTGTCATTGATTTGCACGAAATTGCTCTTTTTCTCTTGAGGAAACCTCCACTTTCCCCTTCCAATCGACCGGGGCTCAAAGTACAAACATGATTCATGACTTCCTCTCGCGATCCTCTTTCATCTGATACCCGTCTTGGCCGTCTTCTTCCAGGAACGATTCCTTCAGAGGTGCGTTTCCTTTGCCTTGACGACTCGCTCTTCGTCACTTCTATCAGCCCTTTTCACAGCTACCTTCTTCTCTTGTACAAGTTTTCTCGTCTTCTTCGTCAGTTTTCCTGGTGCCTGGGCGATTTCATTTGCCGATTTTTTGAATTTGTTAGTCTTTCCGTGCCACAAGATCGATTTCTGTGGCCATCGATTCTACCGTATCGCGTGCTAGTAGTAGTGTGTAAAATGGATGAACACAGTGCATTGCTGTCTACCTGCTGTAGAATTGGTGACAAAAAGTTTGCCAACATGGCTGTGTCCACGAAATACAACGTGAAGGACTATGCCAGAAGCACTCAAGCTGTGTACGAGGTCGACATTTCTCAGGATGACCCTGCGATCCACCCTACACACATTTGTCATGTATGCAAACGTGTGCTGGATCGTTGTCTGAGTGCAGGTAGCCTGGACTCATTTGTAGGGGGTGGATGTGGAGCGATCAAAGTGTGGAAGCCACATCACCGCACATACTGCGACATATGCCACACTGCACCAAACAAGGGTGGACGTCCACCAAAAAAGCAGAAGCAACTTGCTTCAGAGCTTTCTGCTGTAGAAAAAAGAAAGAAAGAAATGGATGACACAACAGTCCCGCAACATTCATCCACAACAGCAAAACCCCTATCACACTCTCCTGGACCCCAGACAGCACACAGCACTAGTGGAATGGATATAGTTATAGCAGAAGTATACATAGTCGCTACGGACACACAGCGGCACAGGGCATCGAGGGCCCTAACTAGAGACAGATTTATAGACCAGAGCGTAGCAGAAGAATGTCCACTATGCGGCTACGTTCTGGACAGCGTCGTTGAATCAGCCTGCTGCCACGCCATGTTTTGCGCTACATGTATATGCACATGGCTGCAATCCAATGGAACATGCCCAGTCTGCAGTTCTGTTCTGCTGGCATCAGAAGCCAGGAAGGCAGAGGAAGAGGTTGTGACCGTCACTGATAAACTCCACTCGTTGCAACAGCAGCTTCAGTGCACAGTCCTCTTCACTCCAGCTCAGCTGAACACATCAGCTGCGGCAGTGGAAATTGTCACTGAGTATTTGCAGGCGCAATGGAAAGATGCAGACGCTCGTCGTGCAGAGTTGGCTGAGAAGCTGAAATCGGCAATGGATAGAGCGGCAAGCCCACCATGGAGGTGCGTTTGTGGGCAATCATGTTCACAAAGCCCTTCAACCTCCAACCGTGCTCGCAATAGTGTCGGCTCCTGTCTCTGTTGTTGTCGAAAGGTGTCCGTCGTTGCTGCCCCAAGCACACAGGATCAAGGACACCTACAAGCAGCTATTCGACCAATACGCGTCCTATACGGAGCAGTTCAGCCACTGCAACAGTATGGATGCGCAAAGCACCGACAAGCTGCATGACTCAATCACCAGCTTCATGGCCACATGCAGAGCAGCTGTAGTGGACAAGGGTCTTGGCCATGCCACTCCGAAGCTACATCTGCTTGAGTCCCACGTCGTACCGTCCATCCGGAGAACTGGGGTCGGCATTGGCTTGCTTGCCGAGCAAGGAAGCGAAAGCATCCATGCCCGCTTCAATTCACTGGACCGACATCATCGTCTTATCAGAAACTCCCTCAATCGCCTGAAATCAGTGGCTCAACAGCACCTCGTCACCACGCTTCCACAGCACGAGGCACTTCGCCCAGTCGCCAAGAAGAGGAAAGCTTCCACCCAGGACGAGTGACTAGCTGGGTTCGCCTCGAGGTATAAGCTAATTCACACTGTGTTTCACCAACGTAATATCTATTTTAATTTCGCAGCATAATCGTATTAATTTTACTATTGCCTTCGCTGCTGTAACAGCTACAGAGAACGAGATACTCGTGTACTTGAGCTTTTATCCAGTAACAGTCTAAAGAAGTCGCACCTTCTGAAAAGAATACCAAAAGCTATGAGGGTAATCACGAACGGTTGATAGTAGCAGGACTAAGAAGCTAGCTTGATTCTTTCTCGATTTCCGACATCTACTTCCAGCATTCTAGAAATCTTCTTCAAAGCACCTTTTCAAATGTTTGAATACAATCCGCGTTTGCCGTGGTTCTTCGGTGCTTGTCTGTGAATACGAATCAAATTATACAAAAACAAAAAGAATTACAATAAAACTCAGTTTCGCGTGGTGCGCTTGGTCAAATGTCGCCATATTGTTAGGTGACTGCAGCAAAACAGCCGTGGGGGGGGGGGGGGGGGGGTGCGTGTACATGTGTGAGTGAGTGCGCATGCACGCGTACGCAAGTGTGTGTGTGTTTTAGAAGCTCTGTCCTTTTTGGACTCTTGCAACGCATGGACCGCATAGCCGGAGACAATTGACAGCACTCGCTACACACAGAGTGAAATGCTGCTTATCACTGGTCCGTGGTCGCCATACAGTACTTGGAGAGAAATCCAACTTCATGAATAACACCGTGCTGGGCTAATCAGTACTATGCACAGCCCTAGCACTATGTGTATCATTCTCTACACTTGCATGCATGCGTTGCTATTCTATTCATCAGGTTGAATTTCTCTGGCCAGAACTGTACATGCTTGCGTGGATGGTATGAGTACTACTCCGAAGTGCAGTTACGGACATTGAAATCCGTTGTGAAGTCAAGCGGCCACACGGGGTGCTGGCCTGCAGCCGTGAGCACTGCTGGTCCAGTTTGACAGTGTGTACTTGAACTACAGTGTGTGTACATGGCAGGGCAGTAAGGATGCTGGCCCCAGCCATTCCACTGGATTTCAAATTTTCAATGTCCACAGCAGGATGTTTACTGGAATCGCACTGCCTTTCTTTTGCTGATAGCCTCACACAGTTTTGTGTTCTGTTTTTTTTTTATCATGTTCTTGCTCAGCTGGAAACATTGCAGCTGAAGTTGAAGACAGCGCAGGGCAGGCATAGCTCAGCGGAAGGCTCAACGGACAACACTCCACGGACCAGTCCGGGCGGTGGTCAGCTAGAAGAGCGTGCGAAGGACAGTACTGGCGAGGACCCGTGGCGGCTAGTTGCTGACCTGCGCAGTCGCCTCGAAGAGCAGTCACGAGCGAGTGCTACCCGCGAGAACAATCTTCGCGAGGAGCTGGCTAGGTCGGAAGCAGAGCGGCAGGCAGTCTCGGACAAGCTGAAAGGGACGCAGAATGCCGTTCGGAATGCTTTCCAGCGGCGCAGGTTCAGTACCGAGGACAGTTCCAGCTCTGAAGTGTTGGTTGCGGTCGACGACACTGTAGCAGGGCATGATGACGGGGATGGAGATGAAACTGATGGCAGTGAACTGGCAGTATCGGCACTATCTTCTCTTCAAGTTGACGATAGCAGTTCTGCTATGCAATCACTGCCAGTAACCGCTTACAGCTCCACACTGCATCGGTCCAGATCTCAGTGTCAAGCAGGGGGACAACGGCCACGCATTGCTCAACGCCTATTCCAAGATGAGGACCGCCAGCAGAAGGCCACCGCGAGGACAAGTAGCAGCGGTACTAGTCCATCGGCCAACCCTGGCTTGTCACTTTGGTCCGAAGTCTCTCAGCAGAATGCCGGCTTGCAGCATCGCTACGAGAATCTCCTCCGCTCCTTTCACTGTAATCCAGGTGACTATGCGACGACTCCGTCCGCCCTGCCCAAGAGCAGCTACTCCGGACTGTTTGAGGACCTGTTTGGAATGCTGCACAAGCTGAAATCCCGTCTCGTCACCGACTTGACAGCTACGTCCGAATCACCGTTGGAACTGAGCTCGGAAATCCTGATGCCAATGTAAAGTGTGGGATCCCTTTATGATCAAGTTCAGATCCATATCTGATAATCTTTTTTTTCCTCTCCGGTTTTAGGCATATTCCCGTATTCTTGCACGTCACTTGAAAGTTGGCCACAGCCTCTATTGGTGCATACGCCAGCTCCGCATTATTTGGGTTTTTCTCCATTTGAACCATCAGTATTTATGAGCACCACTGCACAAAGCAATGCTGATTGTTGACAGGTTGAGAAAAAAAACAAGACTATTCCATCAGCACAGTAGCTAACTCGTTTTCTCCTGTTGCACGCCAGCCCTGTTTTTCAAGTTCCTCTCCCGATATACTCTCCATACGCAATCCACAAACATCTATATTTTTTGAAATATGTCTCAGCGCTCCGACTTTGCAATATTTATGCCAATAGATGTGAAATTGTGCCTGCAAGTGCAAGCAATGGGGCACTTTGTATTATCGTTTAGAGCTCTACCTGAAGCTTAATCCATTGCATCAGAAGTTCTAAATCTTGCATTTCTTTGTTCTCTTGAGCAACAATTTCACGGGATTTTGCTGGCTTTTCGCAGTGTACAAGCAATTGAATGCACTATTTACGCAAGTTTCACGCTCTTCCCAGCTGATCAGGATTTGCTGCGTCTGTTTTGTGCGTGCGTCAATGTGCAGTACGAATGGGCGTGCTTGCATGTGCATGGAAGGTCAACTAGGCATTCATTTGCGGAATGCTGGGTTAACAAGTGTGTGGTGTATGCTGCATGATTTGGACTGCTGCATTCGGCATTCGGCCTAACATGATGGTCTCCCCGCGCCTCTGCCATTAGTCCACGCTACAATGTAGGGTTACGGGTTATTAGTGCACAGAGCAGTGTCAGGTGATGACGAAGAGTGAACAGGCGTGGATCCAGGCGGGTCCGGGTGTTCTGCCGTGGAACCCCCAAATGCACTGCTCGGAACCATGATCATGCATGTACTGTACCTGATTGTATGAGTTACTCAGTTTTGACTAAACTGGAACCCCCGGGGCCTACCCCTGTAGAGATCTCTGGATCCGCCCCGGGTTCAATCAATAGTCTGCGATCTCACCAAGCACATGCAGCATAGCAACATTACACAGGACATGGAAATAATTCAGTCGGAGGTCAAGCGGCCCCAGGGCGCTGGCCATGCAGTCGTGAGTACGCAGACGATCAACACGTGTGCACTGTACAAATGTACATGCAACGTTCTGTACGCACTGAGGGCGCCGGCCCCGCGTCATTCGACCGGATTTTCAAGTCCACGGCAGCACACGAGCAAATTAATGAGAACGAAGTCGGCTACGATTCTGATCCCCTATTCTTCGGCAAGCGAGCAGTGCTATAGTGTGTCTGCAGATGTGACGGTTCTAGTGGTTGAACGCTTTTCAACACTGGTAGGATGCCAATGCCAAAATTTTGTTTTTACAAGACAACCACAAATCATCATGGTGAAAACGCCGGCAAAAACGCAGAGAGATGCACATAGCGATGGCAGCTGAAGCAGTGGAGGCGGGGCAAGAGCAGCTAAACCGACCAAGGGTCTCGGTTTCAGCACTGCTCATGCACTCCATACAGAAAGATAAGAAAGAAAAAAAAAGAGAGCAGGAGCACTACAGAGCAAATGGGAAATATAGGTGGCAGGCAGCACAGTCACACAATGTCTAGAATGGGAAGGAAAGATGAGATGCAGGCACACAATACATTGACTGCATACGCCATCCCTACCTAGTTTTACTGCATGCAATCGAAAAATTTTAAAAAAAATTCACGGTTCGCGTGAGACTCGGCTGGAAGCCGAGTTTTCCGCATCCGCCGTGGGAACGCCACCACCCTCTAGGATCAAGGCGATCGAAAAATTAATAAAATGCAAAACACTAAACCACTAATCTCATAGCGGTATGTAATGTATGGAGATACGAATGCATGCGAGACAGTGTCGTGAAGAGTGCTTAAAAAAAGCTTATGATATTAATTTTAGCTGCGGAAAGAGGTTTTCAATGCATTAGAACGCATCGGAACAAGCCCAGAAAGCAGTCATGATTCTTGCATTCACAAATTGCTAAGATATGTCAACATAGCTAGAGTTTGATAAAAGCAAAGCTGCATTGCCAGGCTACGTGACATTCAAGATACAGTTTGCACATCCACGCTACTGGTTGCAACGGCTGCAAAATTGTGTCGAGAAACACAACCAGCATAGAACGTTGCGCTAGTGCCAGGCCACTGCCATGCCTAATTGTACATGGCATTAGGGAAGGCGAATTCATGAGCGCAGTAAGTAGAATTAGAATAAATTACATATTGCCGGTACATGAATGAGTCAGTGGCCATTTTTGCAGTGGAACATGAAGTACATGATGGCCATGTCGTTGTGTAGTGGCATGGGGCTTCATGCACGTCTTCTGCAATCGCTTCCATTCTCCAGTAGCCGATTCCTCACGTTTTCAGGTGACTGGATTTGATACAGATGACAGCATGCTAGTTGTTGTTAGTTGTGAACGGTGTTTCGTAGCGTCTTCCGCAATCACTTCCATTCTCCAGTAGCCGATTCCTCACGTTTTCAGGTGACTGGATGTGATACAGATGATAGTGCGTTAGTTGTTGTTAGTTGTGAACGGTGTTTCGTGGCGTCTTCCGCAATCACTTCCATTCTCCAGTAGCCGATTCCTCACGTTTTCAGGTGACTGGATGTGATACAGATGATAGTGCGTTAGTTGCTGTTAGTTGTGAACGGTGTTTCGTGGCGTCTTCCGCAATCACTTCCATTCTCCAGTAGCCGATTCCTCACGTTTTCAGGTGACTGGATTTGATCCGGACGACAGCAGTGTTGGCAGTTTGTGTGCATGAGTGGCACGGTGTACAAAGGCTTTGCTTGGCTGACAGTTGCTGGAGTGCTACTCACTGCCAAAAGGCACACCAGGAATACTCTCAATACGCCTGCATCATAGGAGGTACTGCAATACATCCTTGAGACAGAGAGCATGAGGGAAATAGTGAAATCACAGTGGTCACTTGTGACGCAAAATGATCCACCATTGGCTTCATCCGCAAGCGATCGCCAACCAGGGCGCTCATGGCTGGCATTGTAGCTTGCAGTGGCTGATACTCTTTGGGCAGCAGCTGGTGATGAGAGCCGCTGTGGGAGTCTAGGATGAAAGACTCGACCGGATAGTTGTGTGCCGGCCCTAGTCGAGGCTGGCAAATGTGATCGCACCGAAGGGCCAATTGAACAAGGCACCGACCTCGCCCTTCATGATAGTGAAGAGCATGGAGATATGGGTGCCTTGGCCGGGGCTGTTAGCGTTAAGACAAACGCTGCTGCAACAGGCCTTGTGTCCATTGCGACGGATGCGGGATATTGGGCTGTAGAGACTGACGCGTTGCCCATCATTACGGATGCGGGATATTGGGCTGCAGAGACTGACGCGTTTTCCATTACGACGGATGCGGGATACTGGGCTGCAGAGACTGACGCATTGCCCATTACGACGGATGCGGGATATTGGGCTGCAGAGACTGATGCGTTGCCCAGGACAAGCCTCCTTGAAGCTACAGCTGATATGTCAATGGCTCACAGGTTCAGAGCTGCGCTAGCCCTGGAAGTAGCTCGAAGGGATGCGCTGGAGGTCCTCACACGCGACTTACTTGCACTGGCGATTGAGCCAATCGGCCATCACCAGCAAGCAATCACCCGCCAAGAAGTTCTCGGCTTGCCTGTAGAGCTCGCAGTGGCTGATCAACAGTGGGCAACCGCTGGCAATATTCATGTCGTTGACGGGTCTGTGGAAGGAAGTGCTGCGTGGATCCGGGATAAACGGCTCAATGCGGTGATGGTTCGCCGGCCCTTGATCAAGGATGGCCAACGTCACCTTGGAACGAAATGGCCAATCAAGCAACGCATCAAATTCTCCCTTCATGATGGTGAAGAAGACGGAGATGTGAGAGCCTTTGCCCAGTCCATCGCCGTTTGGGTAGACACGGAGACACATCTTGTAACCACGACGATTGGTATAGAAGGGTTGACTGTAGAGACTCATGTTCCGACCGGTACGTGCCACCTTAAGGCGTTGTGTGAAATCGTTGATCTTGAAGATGATTAGACCATTGTAGCTTTTGGTTTCCACGGCGAGCATGCGCAGGTCAGTGTCAGCAAGTGCAGTGTCAGTGCATGCTACAGGCATACCCAGCGGTGTGGGAGTGTTCGCACTCGCACGCATCTGTCCAGCAGTGACCCGCTGTCGCTCTTGCGGCGGATGCGTGCCATGCTCTACACGAGGTTGCACTGGGCTGGTTTCCTGCACGGCGTTGCCCTGTTCCTGGCTGCACTCAAAGGTAGGCCCGGCATGACGCTCAGAAGCGACAAGCGGCTCACGAGCAACTTGGGACTCCCGTGCCACTTGTGCTATTCTATGGACAGCGGCCATTTCTTGCTGTGCATTGAGACGCTCAGAAATCATACGGCTAAGCTCGGCGTGAAAATAACTGTTGGAAAGCAGCATAGCTGGATCAACTGATACAGGAAGTGACTGTGTCTGCTGATTCTGCTGTAGCTTCGCCATGGCCACCTCGAGCTTCTCAAATTGCATTGCATTCGCCTGTTCACTGTCACCCTGGCGCTTCAACTGGTGGGCCAAATGATCGTAGATAGCATCGATCTCGGGGAGTGACTGCGTCCGTTGAGACTCCTGTAGCTGTGTCACGGCCGCCTTCAACTGATCCAGTTTCACCGTATCCGCCTCTCCTCTGTCAAGTAGGTGCTTCAGTTGATGTGTCAAATGATGGCGGGTATCGTTGACTCCGGTCTGTCTTGCCATGGCCATGAAGTCGGGGGGCTCTTGAGCGGTGCCACACACCACGTTCTGGCATGGAAAAAACAAAACAGCATGGACAGGAGCCATCAGGTGCCAATCGTCACTTCCCATCACAGGCATGCTGGTTGCGTTGTCTGCAGAATCTCTCCTCCCCCTCACTATCTCTCCCCCCAAAAAGATGAAAAACTAGCACTCTCCAGTCTCCACCCTGCAAAAATGCAAAAACTTCCTCTGAAATAAAGAGTAAAACGACCCCTCTGAAGTAGAGAACACTGAATTTGCACCAGCCCCCCCCCCCCCTCTCCACCCCCTGACTCGCACACACACTGACCACAAGCTACAAAGCCCGGTGGCGAGGCATACTATGGTGATGAATACTTACATTTGTGTGCTGCCGCCCATCAGCATATTGCTCCCTGCTGTTGGCGCCGGAGTGCTGCCCCTCAGCGTATTGCTCTCTGCTGTTGGTGCCGGAGTGCTGCTCGTCATGTCGTTGCTCGTGCTCGTCTTGCGTACTCACAGCTACGTCTGGGCTATGGCCGGGAGAGGAGACAGCGATTTCGGCATGGTGGTTCGAGCTGCTTTGATGGTCCTAGCGGGGTTGCATGGACACCACACGTGAACAACATACACATGTAAGTCAGAGGCCCTGCTATGACGTCATCACTCCAGGTCCTTTGAATGGAGTGTCTAATTGCGGGAGGTAGGGGTCGAACATCTGCAATGACTACTTGAGAAGACTGAATGGTAACTACACCTGAAATCTCCCCAAAAGGCTGCCTGAAAATACAGGCGGGCAAGCATAGAGACGGCACACGGGGGGAAACAGTACCTACCTCCAGTTGCCGGAGAGGTCCGCGCCACTCGCAACCGTCCTGCTTGTCACTGCACTTGACTTGGAGCGCAAGAATTCTCTCTGCACGCACCTCATCAGTATCACTCTGCAAGACCAGCAACACATGGTATATGAACAGAAAGCAGTTGTCAAAGCCCAGAATAAATACAATCTACCGCATCTTCCGGCGTATAAGCCGCATCCAGATTTTTCGTCACAAAATACAGACATTTACCCTGTATATCTCCATTCAGTTGACCATCCCAGTATACGCCGCACTGAACTTTTTGATGGGAATAATGAATGTTTTTAAAAAGTGCAGCTTATACTCTGGGGAATACGGTATGCCGACTTCTACCATGAGGGTAGTAAGTCAGGGCATTCTACCATGAGGTAAGCAAGTCAGGGCATTCTACCATGAGGGTAGTAAGTCGGGGCAGGTTAGGGTGCGATCGTGTCAGACAGATCAAGCACAAGTACTGGCTATTGACTCCACTACGCCCCTGTGAGGTATGGAGCAAAGTGTGTGCCACCAAAGAGCACCGCATAGACAAATCAACCCGGAAACCACTCCAGAACCCCCCCCCCCGACACCAACCCAGAAACCAACGAAGAGAACTAGTTTGCGTACCTTCACGTCAATTGGACTGTCATCATCCGGGCATGTCACAGGGCTCCCGCCACTTGAACATCACAGACACACACACACACACACATATACACAAACACCAGCATGCACACAGACGCACACGTGTACCCACACATGAACGCGCACACAGGCACACACACACAACGAAATCAGTACGCATTGGACAAGCCAGGATCTCAAAAGGGAATAGGGAAACCAGGATACGAAGCGTATTGGTCCCCGAGTCAAACTATCCATCACAGCACTTATATCCCTGATGGCAGAGAATTGAACAGACTGCAACTACAGTACTACTCGATGAAATCCAGTCGCGTCACTCAAGTTTGCGCCTTCCACCATCTTGCAGCCTAGTATTCGCAGGACTAGGACTGCGCAATGCCCGGCACATACTTGAGCGACGCAACTGGATTTCATTGAACAACACTGTATAAACACGGAAGGGGGTGGGGTGGGGTGGGGTGCAGCGGGGTGGGAGGGACACCAGGAAGGGGGTGGGGTGGGGTGCAGCGGGGTGGGAGGGACACCAGGAAGGGGGTGGGGTGGGATGCAGCGGGGTGGGAGGGACACCAGGAAGGGGGTTGGATGGGGTGCAGCGGGGTGGGAGGGATACCAGGAAGGGGGTTGGGTGGGGTGCAGCGGGGTGGGAGGGACACCGGAACGTGCAGTCCGGGTAAGCATGCTCAGAATTGCAGGGCTTGTTCTGCACATGTGGTGTGACTATTTATTTATTATTATTATTATTTTATCGTCTCCACTTCATGGCACATAATAATACATAGCCAATACAAGAACTATGTCCCCAGTAATCCGAGAGCAAAGAATATCTCAGGCTGTCTCAGGTTTACAGACCCTATGTGAGAGATGCAAGAATCATGAAATTAATAGTCCCCAACACCATGGATAGCTCCTGCGTATGGTGCTAGACGCTCACCTCTTCTTTGTAAGGTCTACCACGCAACCTCTACAGAAACTATGGCCGCATGGGACTTGAACGGGATCGCGTGCTGCCAGACCACAGTGTCGGCATTTGAGTTGCTCGTCTATAGGTTCGGTGAACTGCACATCGTAACCGCCAGATGTGCCCACGGGGCTTTCATCGGTGTGCTCCAGATGAACAACATTGGCGGAAGCAGCGCCTTCTTCTTCTTCCTCTTCTTCTTCTTCTTCTTCCTGCTCCTGTTGGTGGTCAGACGTTGACCCTTGTGAGGGCGAGGCTGCGATGAAGTAGAAACAGAGGAAACACACCCACCACACAGCACCAAACACCAATCTTAAAATGTTGGTCACGTATTAAGGATCGTTTCAGTGTATTCAGTGCGATAACGGATTTCTGATGATAATCACATAAACACGACATTCAAATTATAAAATAGTGTTCCATTGTTTTCATGGTATGAGTGCACTCACTTTACTTTCATCCATATTAGGTTTCTTGCCTCCACACCGACTTGTCTATGTATTCAACTCAGCTTTATTCTGGGTTATTAACTATCATGTTGTGACGTCATTCAACACAAACTAGTGCCTGTCACATTATTGGCTTCAAAACCATACGCGTGTGACGTCATTCCATACAGAATCAGTGGATGTGACGTCATTCCGCACTGGCCACCCCATGAGCGTGATGCTATTCCATGCAAAGGCACCAGCGGGTATGACGTCACTCCTCCAAAAAACCCATCAAATCATAATAGGGCTTGAAAGTGCTACGTCACAGCATAGCAACAATTTCAAAAATTCAAAAACTGGATCCAGTTTTTGTATGGATCCAAGCACATTTCAAGCCGTCTTACTCACAGCAAGGTGATGTAGCCAGTGAAACTGACTGATTTGGCTACTGGGGGCGGGGTTACAACTGGTGGCGAAGTAAAAGTCACCCCTGCATACGACACGAGTGGGTTGCTATGCACCCACATACTGAGGCAATAGCAAAGTCACACCTTAGTGGATCCAAAATAGAAATCTGATGTCAACTTACTACTCCCTGGCCGTTTTTGACGTCATCACTTTCAAGCCCTATTGTGGCAGTGGGCACTTAACCTGTATTGTACAGTGCCGAACATTTCATTTACCTTCTCCATCACCGCGCGATATGAAGGCAGTGGACCCAGAGCAGACAAATTTCGGACCACTCCTGCTGACGCTGGACCTGGCTGAGATACCATGGATTCCTTGGTCGGCAGAGGACGTTTTAGCTTGCACTGGGCGTTGACCGCTTGCTCCTTTCTGGTAATGGCAAAGTTCCAAAAAAGAATTGATAGCATAACAGGATTCGTCCTGGGATCAGCTACATTCACTCTCACCCCCAGTGGATATATTTGATGTTGGATTGCTAGTTCAGAGTGGATTTGAAAGGTTTCAGCAGCTCTATTGATAAGTTTGAAGAAAGGCTGAGGCTTCCTGCAGCTTCATCTGTGAAAAGAAAGTGCCGAAACGTTGTAAAAATAACAGAACTGGTTCGGATGTGATGTGCATCGCTATGGGAATGGGTGTGTCCACCCGAATTCTTTTCTATTGATAAGACCGGGGATAATCTAAGCAAAGGTGGCCCAGTGGACAACAGCTGGGGATGCTCCCAACAGAACACACCCGTAGCCTGAAACGAACATAGCAACCTTGAAGTGAGATATGACGTTACAGGACCGGTGGGAGCGGTCTTTGATTGGCCCAGCAGTACTATATTGCCGTTCATACTTTGTGTATGGCATGGAGGGCATGACCTTCTCAGCAGGATACAAATGTCGGTGGCCAACAAGTTCAATCGGACCGGTTCCGCGCACCGGGTCTGAATTATGAAGTATGAAGCCCATCGGTGCCCTGCAAGTTTCGATACCCCACTTGCATACAGTACATGCAGTGTTGGTCATTGTAATAATATGTCACGTAATAACCTTCAGACAACTGAGCCTGATGGCAACGGAACTAACCAATGCTATGCATAAGTACAGCCATCAAGAGAACTAGCCGGTACATACGCACATACACACACGCACCCCCCCCCCCACACACACACGCGCGCGCGCACACACACACACACACACACACACACACACACACACACACACACACACGCACCCACACACACGCACGCACGCACACACGTACATGTACAAACGGGTCGAAATGTAGACATACCTTAGACTGGCGCGCGTCATCTTGGGTGCAGTCTTGTGCTGTGTGCCAATCGAGCTGAGCACGAAGAGAATCAATGCAAAGAACAAGAACACATGAGGGGAAAGAGCGCTGTTGTCAAACAACATCCTGAATTCACGAGCTAGCCTTGACTTTGGAGACAGGCTGAACATTAACCCATCCTCCAGCACACACACATGAACACACATGATACACACACTTTGCCATACTGGACAGAGGTCTAGCCAGGATTTTATGCCAGCCGGCCAACGTTCTAGTTAAAATGCATCGTTCCAGACAGGAACAAGAGCCTCACATAGGTTATTCTCTGGCCTGTTGGATTTCAGTCATAATTGGTGACCAGAGATGTGCCAGTAATTTAACAATAATTATATCCACAGTCCTGCTCAATGAAATCCAGTCGCGTAACGCAAGTATGCGCCGGGCGTTGCTAAGCCGTAGACCTGCTAGCACTGGGCTGCAGAATGGTGCAATGCGCAAACTTGAGTTACGCGACTGGTTTTCATTGAGCAGGACCGTACTTTGAATTCTCACATTTTTGCGTTTGACATCCACTCCACAACGGTTGGGACACTGGACCTCGTACTCCAGACAGTCCTTAACAAGATGGGGATGCAGGAAGGCCTGGGGCACACTGGTGCGACACAGGTGACACGGGACTGGACAGTAGAGGCATTTCTCGTTCGTGTGACGCTGTAGGTCGTGCAGTGTCATAGGCGAAGCCTGGCAACCGCGATTTGGACAGTGCACCATCTTGTACTTGCAAATACCAATATGGTCCTATACAATTGCAAGAAGAAGAAGAAGAAGGAAATATTATAAGGGTACTATGACTCAGGAATGTGAAAGTAGACTCAATTGGAAGCATTCGGTTAGGGTGAAATCACGCACTCATTATCATAACCATTAATTCATATTGTTACGTCTAAGTTACCACACACTGCCCAACTATTCACCCTCCGCCTGCAAACCGATCCTAAAAAGGAGCCTTTCCGACTCCCACAGAAACATCTTACAGCGGATACGTGTGACAAGGTGTGTAGAGGTAATGTTGGGTGCAGTGGTAATGGCAAGGTGGTGCACATTTGTAACAGTACACAGAACAACAAGGACAAGTGAGGCTAATTAGTCGCTACTCCCAGTTGCATGCTGATGCAATTATCAGGCAACAGTGTAATGTTAAGGGGTTGAGTATTCATGTAACTCTATTATACAGAGTGAAATTGACAATGTGATGGATGTCTGGAAAACTTGCCCGATTCTGGACAAACTGTTTTTTTTGTTTTTGTTCGGACACCTCAAACACCAATCACCCTCACAAGGGTGCGTCGGTAAAATCCGACACTCTAGTATCAGGAGCAGTGCACCACCTCTCACAACCATTAGCACCCCAATTACACTTCATGCTGATTCAAACCCACACGACTTATCTCCTGTGTCAGAGTGTCCACTTTGGATTTCATCGGACCCAGTTATACTTCTTGGACACTGACAAAGGTCTGCAAGCATAAGCAGCTTTGTTCATATCAAGAAAAAAATTGCCAAGCAAGCAAACCGTCCTACCCCGCCGTCTTTCTTCCAAAAGTGAATGCCTGCAGTACTAGCAAGAGGGTGGATTGAAGACCTGCTAGGCATGCACACACAACGGTTGCTTCAAGCACAGGAGTCGAGTTCACCTACTGTGAATTGCTCCCATATGCATGGCAGAGCAATGGTCCTCTTCTCACCTTCAAATCCCGGAGTGGACCGCGCCACTCACACCCATGTGAGCAGCTATCGCAGTACACTCCCAGCGACAGAACCTCACGCTTGCAACAGATGTCAGCAAATGTCTGGGAGGGTGACAACACAAATATGCACACAGAGGAAACCTCACTATTGCAAACCGATGAACTTTCACAGAGTGGTCTTGCAAAAATTCGAGGCACATGATCTTGCGGGGAAATATTTTCTTTTCACGTGATTGGAGCCGGTTCTGTGACCTCCTCCATAAAGATCCAGTTCCGCAGACACTGGCTGATACACTGGTAGAGCAGACCATAGCTGTAATTATGACAGAGAGTGCACTGGATGGTACACTGGTAGAGCAGATCATAACTACATTGGAGACACTGCACTGGATGCCAAGCTGAGAATGCACACCATAACTACACGGGAGCCACTGGATGCCAAGCTGAGAATGCACACCATAGCTACACACCAAATTACAGTTTGTGCCAAGCTGAGAGCGCAGATTATAGCTACACACCAAAGTACAGTTGACAGCAGACACATTGTGCAATAATAAATATAGCGACGAGGCAGAGCACCAAGAAGCCGACGTGAATCAGTCATTATGTAGAGCACCACTGCGTCACCTAGACTACCTGATACAGAGTCGCACAGTGATCACCATCACAAACAAGGCCGATCGAGGCAGCTCGAAGCCAAGTGCTCCATGCACAAATGCACAGAGCAGTTTACACATACAACGGAGGCGGAAAGTTTCGCCTCAAGTTTCGCCTCCGTTGTATGTGATCGCCATCGTTCACCAGTTCTAGACGCCGGTAGTGTTTCTCAACACAATAGTACGGTATTGCCGGTGGTAACACAGGCAGGTGTGACTTTACTTCAGTTTGCATGACCAGCACATACGTGAATGGTACATTGCCGTCGCCTATAAAAATAGAAATACATTCACGGTTCGCGTGAAACTCGGCTGGACACCTAGTTTTCCGCATCCGTAGGAACGCCACCACCCTCTGTGGATCAAGGCGCAGATGCAGCTCCTAAAGCGGTGGGAGGTGGGTAGATCAGACCCACCACAAAGTGGTCAAAGACCGACTATCCCATTCACTGCATCCGTGCTTCTGCCTTCGCCTTTGGGCACAAAAAGATGGCGTGAAGCTTTATAGTTCTTGGATTAACTTAATGTGAACACCAGAACTTACCTCTTGCACTGTTTCACGGTCCACAGGGCACTGATTTTTCCCACTGCTGGCAATGGAAAAACAATGCAACATAACATACCAAACAAACCCACTCAATAAACATGGAAAGCAAAGATGCAACTACAAACGTGACGAGTGCAATGCAGACAGATGCACTGTTGCGGACATTGAACTACGTCGAGAAGTCGATCGGCCGCGGGGGGGGGGCTGGCCGTGCAGCTTGAGAACTGCTGGCCAATTGTTACAATGTTACAGTGTGTCTATACACTAAACAAGAGGGCGCTAAGCAAGAGGGCGCTAAGCAAGAGGGTGCTAAGCAAGAGGGCGCTAAGCAAGAGGGCGCTAAGCAAGAGGGTGCTAAGCAAGAGGGCGCTAAGCAAGAGGGCGCTAAGCAAGAGGGCACTAAGCAAGAGGGCACTAAGCAAGAGGGCGCTAAGCAAGAGGGCGCTAAGCAAGAGGGCGCTAAGCAAGAGGGTGCTAAGCAAGAGGGCGCTAAGCAAGAGGGCGCTAAGCAAGAGGGTGCTAAGCAAGAGGGCGCTAAGCAAGAGGGCACTAAGCAAGAGGGCACTAAGCAAGAGGGCGCTAAGCAAGAGGGCGCTAAGCAAGAGGGCGCTAAGCAAGAGGGTGCTAAGCAAGAGGGCGCTAAGCAAGAGGGCGCTAAGCAAGAGGGCACTAAGCAAGAGGGCACTAAGCAAGAGGGCGCTAAGCAAGAGGGCGCTAAGCAAGAGGGCGCTAAGCAAGAGGGCGCTAAGCAAGAGGGCGCTAAGCAAGAGGGCGTTAAGCAAGAGGGCGCTAAACAAGAGGGCGCTAAGCAAGAGGGCACTAAGCAAGAGGGCACTAAGCAAGAGGGCGCTAAGCAAGAGGGCGCTAAGCAAGAGGGCGCTAAGCAAGAGGGCGCTAAGCAAGAGGGCGCTAAGCAAGAGGGCGCTAAGCAAGAGGGCGCTAAGCAAGAGGGCACTAAGCAAGAGGGCGCTAAGCAAGAGGGTGCTAAGCAAGAGGGCGCTAAGCAAGAGGGCGCTAAGCAAGAGGGTGCTAAGCAAGAGGGCACTAAGCAAGAGGGCGCTAAGCAAGAGGGCACTAAGCAAGAGGGCGCTAAGCAAGAGGGCACTAAGCAAGAGGGTGCTAAGCAAGAGGGCACTAAGCAAGAGGGTGCTAAGCAAGAGGGCACTAAGCAAGAGGGTGCTAAGCAAGAGGGCACTAAGCAAGAGGGTGCTAAGCAAGAGGGCACTAAGCAAGAGGGTGCCAAGCAAGAGGGCACTAAGCAAGAGGGTGCTAAGCAAGAGGGCACTAAGCAAGAGGGCGCTAAGCAAGAGGGCACTAAGCAAGAGGGTGCAAAGCAAGAGGGCACTAAGCAAGAGGGTGCTAAGCAAGAGGGCACAAGCAAGAGGGTGCTAAGCAAGAGGGCACTAAGTAAGAGGGTGCTAAGCAAGAGGGCACTAAGCAAGAGGGTGCTAAGCAAGAGGGCACTAAGCAAGAGGGTGCCAAGCAAGAGGGCACTAAGCAAGAGGGTGCTAAGCAAGAGGGCACTAAGTAAGAGGGTGCTAAGCAAGAGGGCACTAAGCAAGAGGGCGCTAAGCAAGAGGGCGCTAAGCAAGAGGGCGCTAAGCAAGAGGGCGCTAAGCAAGAGGGCGTTAAGCAAGAGGGCGCTAAACAAGAGGGCGCTAAGCAAGAGGGTTCTAAGCAAGAGGGCACTAAGCAAGAGGGCACTAAGCAAGAGGGCGCTAAGCAAGAGGGCGCTAAGCAAGAGGGCGCTAAGCAAGAGGGCGCTAAGCAAGAGGGCGCTAAGCAAGAGGGCGCTAAGCAAGAGGGCGCTAAGCAAGAGGGCACTAAGCAAGAGGGCGCTAAGCAAGAGGGTGCTAAGCAAGAGGGCGCTAAGCAAGAGGGCGCTAAGCAAGAGGGTGCTAAGCAAGAGGGCACTAAGCAAGAGGGCGCTAAGCAAGAGGGCACTAAGCAAGAGGGCGCTAAGCAAGAGGGTGCTAAGCAAGAGGGCACTAAGCAAGAGGGTGCTAAGCAAGAGGGCACTAAGCAAGAGGGTGCTAAGCAAGAGGGCACTAAGCAAGAGGGTGCTAAGCAAGAGGGCACTAAGCAAGAGGGTGCTAAGCAAGAGGGCACTAAGCAAGAGGGTGCCAAGCAAGAGGGCACTAAGCAAGAGGGTGCTAAGCAAGAGGGCACTAAGCAAGAGGGCGCTAAGCAAGAGGGCACTAAGCAAGAGGGTGCAAAGCAAGAGGGCACTAAGCAAGAGGGTGCTAAGCAAGAGGGCACAAGCAAGAGGGTGCTAAGCAAGAGGGCACTAAGTAAGAGGGTGCTAAGCAAGAGGGCACTAAGCAAGAGGGTGCTAAGCAAGAGGGCACTAAGCAAGAGGGTGCTAAGCAAGAGGGCACTAAGCAAGAGGGTGCTAAGCAAGAGGGCACTAAGCAAGAGGGTGCTAAGCAAGAGGGTGCTAAGCAAGAGGGCGCCTAGCAAGAGGGCGCTAAGCAAGAGGGCGCTAAGCAAGAGGGCGCTTAGCAAGAGGGTGCTAAGCAAGAGGGCGCTAAGCAAGAGGGTGCTAAGCAAGAGGGCGCAAAGCAAGAGGGCGCTAAACAAGAGGTCGCTAAGCAAGAGGACGCCAAGCAAGAGGGCGCTAAGCAAGAGGGCGCCAAGCAAGAGGGCGCTAAGCAAGAGGGTGGTAAGCAAGAGGGCGCTAAGCAAGAGGGCGCTAAGCAAGAGGGTGCTAAGCAAGAGGGTGCTAAGCAAGAGGGCACTAAGCAAGAGGGCGCTAAGCAAGAGGGCACTAAGCAAGAGGGCGCTAAGCAAGAGGGCACTAAGCAAGAGGGTGCTAAGCAAGAGGGCACTAAGCAAGAGGGTGCTAAGCAAGAGGGCACTAAGCAAGAGGGTGCTAAGCAAGAGGGCACTAAGCAAGAGGGTGCTAAGCAAGAGGGCACTAAGCAAGAGGGTGCCAAGCAAGAGGGCACTAAGCAAGAGGGTGCTAAGCAAGAGGGCACTAAGCAAGAGGGCGCTAAGCAAGAGGGCACTAAGCAAGAGGGTGCAAAGCAAGAGGGCACTAAGCAAGAGGGTGCTAAGCAAGAGGGCACAAGCAAGAGGGTGCTAAGCAAGAGGGCACTAAGTAAGAGGGTGCTAAGCAAGAGGGCACTAAGCAAGAGGGTGCTAAGCAAGAGGGCACTAAGCAAGAGGGTGCCAAGCAAGAGGGCACTAAGCAAGAGGGTGCTAAGCAAGAGGGCACTAAGTAAGAGGGTGCTAAGCAAGAGGGCACTAAGCAAGAGGGCGCTAAGCAAGAGGGCGCTAAGCAAGAGGGCGCTAAGCAAGAGGGCGCTAAGCAAGAGGGCGTTAAGCAAGAGGGCGCTAAACAAGAGGGCGCTAAGCAAGAGGGTTCTAAGCAAGAGGGCACTAAGCAAGAGGGCACTAAGCAAGAGGGCGCTAAGCAAGAGGGCGCTAAGCAAGAGGGCGCTAAGCAAGAGGGCGCTAAGCAAGAGGGCGCTAAGCAAGAGGGCGCTAAGCAAGAGGGCGCTAAGCAAGAGGGCACTAAGCAAGAGGGCGCTAAGCAAGAGGGTGCTAAGCAAGAGGGCGCTAAGCAAGAGGGCGCTAAGCAAGAGGGTGCTAAGCAAGAGGGCACTAAGCAAGAGGGCGCTAAGCAAGAGGGCACTAAGCAAGAGGGCGCTAAGCAAGAGGGTGCTAAGCAAGAGGGCACTAAGCAAGAGGGTGCTAAGCAAGAGGGCACTAAGCAAGAGGGTGCTAAGCAAGAGGGCACTAAGCAAGAGGGTGCTAAGCAAGAGGGCACTAAGCAAGAGGGTGCTAAGCAAGAGGGCACTAAGCAAGAGGGTGCCAAGCAAGAGGGCACTAAGCAAGAGGGTGCTAAGCAAGAGGGCACTAAGCAAGAGGGCGCTAAGCAAGAGGGCACTAAGCAAGAGGGTGCAAAGCAAGAGGGCACTAAGCAAGAGGGTGCTAAGCAAGAGGGCACAAGCAAGAGGGTGCTAAGCAAGAGGGCACTAAGTAAGAGGGTGCTAAGCAAGAGGGCACTAAGCAAGAGGGTGCTAAGCAAGAGGGCACTAAGCAAGAGGGTGCTAAGCAAGAGGGCACTAAGCAAGAGGGTGCTAAGCAAGAGGGCACTAAGCAAGAGGGTGCTAAGCAAGAGGGTGCTAAGCAAGAGGGCGCCTAGCAAGAGGGCGCTAAGCAAGAGGGCGCTAAGCAAGAGGGCGCTTAGCAAGAGGGTGCTAAGCAAGAGGGCGCTAAGCAAGAGGGTGCTAAGCAAGAGGGCGCAAAGCAAGAGGGCGCTAAACAAGAGGTCGCTAAGCAA